GCACTCAACAAGTTCCCAGGTGCTCCTGCCATGCCCTCACTCGAGAGCTCCCAGAGCCCTGTCCTGGGCCCATTAGATCCATCTGTAAATGCCTCTTGCACTCAGTCTCTAGCACCCAGGGTTTCTGGGCCTCTTTCATACATCAAGGGCTGTTTCACTTCTCTTCCCTGCTCCAACCCATGCCCAGGGGATCAGAGTTCCCACAGTGCCATGCCAGACGTGCCTGAGTGACCCTTGATTCTTCACCGGTGGAAGATTCTTCACCATGGGACGCACACGGGTGTCCCACCAGGGATTCTGTGGGTGCCCTGGCCCTCCTGTTTGCACCTGTAAGATGTCTTGGAAGAAAGATATCTGAGGAAAAAGAGCAGAGCAAAGGTGGTGAGTGTTCATAAAGGCTCTGGCCAAACAGTTCTTGGATGGAGCCCTTCCTTGCCATGGGGGTAGCTATTGCTGCTGGGTTTATGCAGCAACACCCCAGGGCACCCCTTGTCTCCTATTTGTTCTTTCATTTTCCTTCCTGTCCAACCAAGCTCTGCCCCCTCATAAATTTCTTCAGACTTGTAAAAAGGTTAAATACAAGCTTAAAAGAGAAGTGCTAGACTGAGACCCATCTAGTTCAGTGACTGGTAATGGATTGGTAAAGTCACCTGATATTCAGGACTTCAGGTCTACTCTATTCATGCCACTCCCTGCTCCAGAACACTCTTCTCCTTTCTTTGTATCTTCTCTAGGTTTATTCCATGCAAGGTGAAGTGGTCACCATTACCTGCCCCTTGCAGTAGATCAAACTTGTGCAGATGTTTTTTTGCTCTGTTCCAAATTACACTGCTAATTATTCTTGAAGGAGAGCTATTATGCCTGCAAGCTTGTCAACTTTTTTCCAACTGTATCAGTTCATCTAATAGAAAATTCTGTTGTCCTCTATGGACCTTGCTTCTTTCATATGCTTAGATCATCATGCCTACAAAAGCGTTAATAGTAATTATTCTTAACATTGCATTTGTCTATTAATTAGTACTAATTAATCCTAACATTGCATTTGTCTTTTTGAGCAGCATGAAGCCGTGAGCAGATGTATTCACAGACCAAGTCAAGATCTCTTTCTGAGTGCCAATTAACAGCTAACGCTCTCCTGTGGGCCTTCACCACGTGCATTCCATCTCACTGGCAGACCCTGCCGTTTGCCTGCTGGTCACTGAGAGATCTGTAAGGTTTCTTTTGCAGTAGTTCACAGTCAACTTTATATTTTAGCATAGTGAATAATTTAGAATCATCTTAATCAGATGATTTAGACATCTGCTCATGCCATTTCCCAGGTTCTGAGTAAATAAATGCATGCTACTCCCCATTGTAACAGCTGAGCATCTATTCCTTTTCCTTAGTTCCTATTTTCTCTCCAATTACAAAAGCAGAGAGGTTCCCCCTGTTATTTCAGAGTTATTTAATGACCTTTTGCAACATACCTTAGAGGAAGTGTCTCGAGAATAACCAAGTCAACAAAGTATGAACTAGTTGACCTGTTTGCTGGTGCCTCAGCTCTTGGTTCTGAGACGTGACTTCTCTGTGCAGAAGGGTGCTGACCCTTCCCCAACAGAGCACGCTCATTCCTGTGGCTCTCAGCCCCTTCACTGCAGTGTCTGATCCTCAAAGCACCCATCTGGTTTTGTGCAATGGATGTATTTATTATGTGCTTCTGTGCTTATATTTCTTTGACCTGCCTTGTTAGGACTTCACTTGCCAGAGTCACTGCTTTCCTCCTTCTCCCTGTTCAGACAGGACTCACAGCCTGTCCTTCTCTGAGGGACATCTGTTTGCTTCCAACTGTTGTGTTCAATCTCCTGTGTAACTACACTGCTATGCTTCTGGAACAGGTTTCCAATAGGTCACATATATATTTACCTGAACCTTTCATGTGAGGTCTTCAGGCAAGTCACCCTCTCTGAATTCACTCTTTTAGTTTCTCCTTTTGCTTCAGCCAGATGCTCCATTTCTTTGCACTTTTCCCTTTTCAATTACTCAGTACTACAGTGGGTATTTTGGGTTGCTGCTTCTCCTGGAAATCGCTAACTGTATCTACATGACAGGTGCCTTTTCTACAGTTACCTCTTGAACCTGTGCAATTCTTCAGACTAAATCAAGTGTTGCTTTTCTGCCTCACTTTTCCACCCAGCTGGCATGCTGAAATAGCCCAACCTGGCTTTGTCCTGATTTATCCTCCCTGCACGGAGGGGATCCATGTTCCTCGTTACCCTGTTTTCTGTGCTGGCACCTCTCTGAGCTGCTGGTGAACTCAGAGTCCTGTCAGGTACCCGATGTCAAAGCCAGCCCCAACTCCGGGGTCCCCCTTTCTCAGCTCAGGAGGATGCTGGGGTATTTATTGATCTAATTAATGTAGCTGCTGGATTTAAGATCCCTCTTTAGAGGAGCATTATTTTTACTTATGTGCCCATGAGTTCCTTTTGCTGCAGCTTGAGCTTGTTGCCTCCTTGCTGTGTGTCCCGGAGAAGAGCCCGGGGCGCCCCCTGCTCTGTAACCCCGAGCTGGCAGCAAGCTGCGGTCGGACACTCCCCCCCTTTTCTAGGGTCCTTTCACCTTGAAGATGGCTTTGGACTTGTACCGGTGCCTTTGTCATCAGAAGGGATGTTTCTGCATTGAAACCTCTCAGATTCAGTGGTGAAAGTGTGGGGAGGTTTCTGTTTTCAAGAGCCATCCTCTTCTCTGAAGCTGTTTGGGTTTGTTTTCTTTTTGTATAATGGGGCCTAAGTAATTCAATATACACATCCTAGAGAGGCCCCACCAGCCTGTTACGACTCCCTTGTCTGCCTGAAGCCTGGTTCCTGGCACTCAGTCCTCTGGGTCTGACTGAAATGTGCAGGTAAAATCACTTCGGGTGGCAGAGTGACAGTAGTGTACTGGTGCCAGGAAGATTATCAGTAAATAAGACAGTTAAACAACCTGTAGCCTCCAGGTTTGTGGATGTGTAATTTAGCTTGGAGTCTGTGAGCATAGCCTGGAAATGCAGCCCTGCTCCAGAGGCAGTGAGCCAGAGGAGAAGAAAGATTAAAAATCACTTGACTCAGTGCCTGCAAGACTCATCCTCTGGGATGGGACACCTTCCAAAACATGGCACTGAGCATGCAGGAAAGCCTCATTCTCTCCTGAGATTCTGGATGTGGGGTAAGAGCTGGGGGCACTGTGCAGCACTGCTGTCCAGGTGCTTGCTGCGGGGAAGATGCAGACCCCGGTGAGGGTCCTGTGCAGGAAAGCCCAGAGGGGTCCTCTGAGCCAGGTGCTTGGAACTGCACAATGGCCTTGGGGTTCTTTATGTCCCATGTGCTATTCTTGCCACATTTGCTGTTTGTTTTCCATAAAATAGTCTAATTAATAGGAAAACATCAGCATGTGGCTGTTAACACTCTAATAGTCACCTGCAACAGAGGTTTTCAGTATATCTCAGGCCGGGATACTGTCCTCCCAAGTGAAGAGACATCAGATTTGATGCACAAGCCAGAGCAAATATCAGCATCTCCTCTGGCTCTGCTAGCTCCAGAGTGCAAAGGCTGGAGGCAAAAGCAGCCTCCTCAGGAGCCCGGAGTGAGGTTTTTGGGCAACTCATCAAGGGTCTTGTCATGGGCACTGATTCAGATCTTCAAGGCAGAATTGCTCCAGACTGCTTGTATGAAGGAAAGGCGGAGCCTTCTTGGGGTAAAACCATCTTAAAACTTTGATGGGCAAAGCACCAGGCTGCAGGGCTGCTCTGTGGGGCATGTGGCTGGGATTCTGCTGGGCTCCAAGTGCTCTTGTCTGACCCATCCAACACTGCTCCTGCTTCTGGTGAACCTGCAACACTTCCAACAACAGGCAGAAACCCTTTCTCTGCCTTCCCCCTTTCCTCACATTGCTTCAGGGAGCACAAGGGATCAGGCCCAGCGATGGAGAATAGCAAGTCTGAGTGCCAGGGCAACACGGCCCCAGCCACTCTGGAGCCGACTCTCCACTCCTTGCAACGGGCACACCAGAGTCAGGGACTTCCCTGCACTTCACCAGAAAACTCCCTTTTGCCGAGGAGGTGTCAGTGCTCTGGCTCACAGCACCTGTCCGTCCCTGCCCGAGGAAGGATTTGCTGCTGAGCTGTAGTGTGGACAGCTCTTGGAGTTCAAAAGCAAATAGATGAAGTGTTTCTCCTTCCAGCTACCATTACCAGAGATCCCTGAAATGAATGTGCCCGTGTGCTCTGCTTTTATACCTCTTGGGCAAAGGGACAGCAACAGAGCACTCTTTAAATTCAGCTCTCGCTCTTCTCTGTGTATCTCTCCCTTAGCAGGGGAAGCATCCTGAGTATTTAAACACTTGTGAAAGCACCTTTTATCCTGCAGCTGAAATGGTCTCTGAGAGCTCAAAAACCAGGGCTGAGGGTCAAAGTCATAACGGTTTAGAGATGACCAGGAGAGATTACACCCTCCCCTGCAGGGACGTTTCTGTGCTCTAGCAGCCCCCCGGGACTCTGGGCAGCCGCGTGGCTCTGCACGGTGCCAACGTGCTGCGTGTGGAACCCAGGGTGCGACGGGCTGGCTTCCTGCCCTGGGACAGCTTTTAAACCCGGGCAGGGAGCTGACAGCCACCACACCGTGTGCGTTTGCTATAGCAGCTGCCATCCCAATTTTGCAAGGCCCTTTTTGCAGTCAGCAAAAACCTCCTGCCCGCAGCCCTGGGCAGCAGCACCGGCCCCGGCGCTGGCAGCTGCCTGGTGCCATCTCGTGGTTAAATAACTTCTCCGGAGCAACCCTATTCCTGTCCTGCCACCGGTCTTCCACTAGAAAGGAAAGAATACTTCCAGTATTAATTTTTAGCAGGATATTCCTGCATGTCTTTGCACAGGCAGGTGCCTTCCAGGTTGGGTAAGAGCATCAGTTGGTGCTGCCTGTGCAGGATGGGCTGAGCAATGTGTACCTGACCCTCCCTTATCTGGGGATGTTCTTACAACTTCATAATCTTGTATGTCTGCAGGGGAACAGCTCGCCGCGTTTCGCAGCCAGGATGGCCAGGCCTATGTGGTCGACGCTTACTGCCCTCACCTTGGGGCCAACCTCAGCGCCGGTGGGCGCGTCGTGGGCAATTGCATTGAATGCCCCTTTCACGGCTGGCAGTTTCAAGGAGAAGATGGAAAATGCACCCACATACCCTATGCTGGAAAAGGTGAAACATGCCCCCCAGATCCACAGAAAGCATCTGTGTCCTCATTAAAAGCTACTTCATTAAGGAAAAGTGGTCTTTATAATAATTCACCCTCCTTCCTGCTCCCCTATTTCATGCAGCACCCTAATTCTCCTCCTGGGTTGTCCATGTTGGGGCTTAATTAAGTTCCAGATGATAACTGGGACTTTAGTCTAGTTAAATAACCTCCCTTCTTTCTTTTAATAGTCCTGCAACTCCTGCAGTCAGCAGGTAGGGCATAAAAGATTTGTCCACTGCACCAGCAGGGATGGATCTGAGGTGCTATTGGATTTCAGGAATGATTCTGTCCTCTTATAGTGACAGTTTACACCATGTCAGTGCTTAAAACTGTTGCATTAGCATGATAGAATAATCCCTTAATTGCAATTTTTTCCCCTTTTAAAGCTTGGAGGGAACTTTTGGTTGGAATCCAGGAGAGCTCTAGACATGGCTTGCATTGACTGTGAAGGAAGGGGATCTTACTTAAAGTTCACATGTAACAATAACTTGATCTGGCTGCACTAAATAGTTTAAATCACCAATTCTAGATGTAGCTGAAACCAGTAAACAGACTTACCTATAGTTTTGCTTGGGTGTATGCTTAGTTATTTTCCTGAAAAGTTCAACTTTGTTTGGAATTGATTGGGTTAGCAATGAAAACTTTGATTAGCAGCAAAAGTCAGTCTTTCTACTAACAGATTATTTTTCCCAAAGTGAAAGAAACATTCCATCTATATGGGATAAGATAAAAAATTTATAGATCTCACCAAGCAGCAATTCCTTTTTGTGTGTGTGTGTTGTTTTCAGAAAAAAAAAAAGACTGTCTTTTTTTTCCCATACATACTCAGTCAAGGAGCTGCACTCAAGTGAACACAAAAATGAGCATGAATATTCTGGACATATGCAAATGCCTGCCAGAGTGCCTTGTTTCATCTGCAGTGTCTGTACTCAAGTCATTATTATCCATAGTTATTAAAAGAATGAAACTGCAGACAGCTGCTCTGCTCTTATACAGCCCAAATGGGTCAGGCTGATTGAAACAGATTTAAAAGCCATCTGTGCTCATGCAGGTCACTTTGACAGAGAGGGATTTTGGAGAGTTTGGATGAGCAGCTCCTCCAGCTTGCAGTGGAGACCAACAGCCAAACTGAGCCACAGAGCCCAACGTGGTGTTAGGTGAAGCTGGTGCAGGGTCTGGAGCACAGGTCTGCTGGGGAGCGGCTGGGGGAACTGGGGGGGTTCAGTCTGGAGGAGAGGAGGCTGAGGGGAGACCTCCTGGCCCTCTGCAACTCCCTGCCAGGAGGGGGCAGAGAGGGGGGATGAGTCTCTGGAGCCAAGGAGCCAGCGCCAGGACAAGAAGGAATGGCCTCGACTTGCACCAGGGGAGGTTTAGATTGCATATTAGGAAAAAATTCTTCACTGAAAAGTTTGTCAAGCATTGGAACAGGCTGCCCAGGGAAGGGGTTGAGTCACCATCCCTGGAGGTATTTAAAAGACATGTGGATGTGGCACTGAGGGACATGGCTTAGTGGTGGCCGTGGCAGTGTGAGGTTAATGGTTGGACCTGATGATCTCAAAGGTCTTTTATGTCTGCAAGGGGGCAGATGAAGCCCTCTTTAAAATTCAGTGAAGTGCATCTCACCCAAGACACCAGATTTTTTTGGTCAGAAATTGCATTGATGGTCTTCTCCTGCCCCCTCTAGTATTCATTGACTAAAAGAGAAACAGAATTTCTCCTATTATTTCACCTCCCACATGACTGTACAAGGCTGAATAACAAGGAAGCACTATCTCTGTGCTTGTTTGCAAATTAGAAAAAAAGCAGTAATGAAGTCAAAAGCCTTCCAGTCCAGTAGAAGCTACACTTTCTGTCAATTGGGTACATATAAATGCCAAAACTCATTTCACTGGAAGGAGTGCAGATATATTCTTAATGCCACTCATGATACTGCAGTATTGTAACAGAATGACATGAACTTGAAAGGTAGAGATGGCTTTTACTCTCTGCACATCTTAAAGCATCTCCTTCTAGCTTTTGAGGAGGGTCCACTGATGCAGCAGACATCAACTTACCTGAACAGTTTTAAGTGTAGTGGAAGAGGCTGCAGAGCAGCCAGCTGTGTTGCTTCCTTAAAAAACATATGCAGAACACCCAACTAAATTAAAACCAATTTAAGCAAAGTCTCTTCTGTGAAATTCAGAAGCTGTTGTCCTTCTTCAACAGCCTGAAAGCTGGAAAAGTGTCACCAGAGAGTGTGCCACATCAATACCTCCCATAAAGATGATCTCTGAGTCGTGGTTCGGGACCCTTAGTGCCAGCTTCAGCCTTGGAGATGCCATTTTTAACCAATTCCTCTCTGTCCTCTGCAGTGCCAGAATTTGCGAGGGTGCGGACCTGGCCATCCTGCGAGGTGAATGGGATGCTGCTGCTCTGGTACCACTGCGAAGGGATCAGCCCAACGTGGGCAGTGCCCGAGCAGCGTGAGATTGTCACCGGAGAGTGGGTGTTCCGTGGGCAGACAGAGCACTTCATTGATGCACACATACAGGTAGGGAGCCCTGTCCCTCCGTGGGGCACATCCTCTCCTATAGTCCAGTTCAGGGACATCTCCTCCCAGTTAACCCATTCAGGGACAGCTCCTCCCAGTTAACCAGGCTCTGCCTGCTCTCAGTCATCACTGCTCAGACCTAGAAATACATCCCTGCGCTGTACACCGAAAATATGGCATATGTTCCCCAAACACGGATCGTGAGCTTCTCAAGTAGAGAACAGATGTTCTGGGTACTTAAAAGGAATCTGTTAATTTGATTTGACTTACAACTGATGTAATTTAAAAAAAGATTTTCTAAGAATTGCGGCACTTAGTGTCAGGAGGCTTTTCAACTCATTGATCACTGGAATGAAAGCGCGCAGTTATTTTGCTGTTAATCTTCATAATCACCATCATACGCTGACAAATGTGCCACGGAGAACAAAATGGCTGTTGCCTCCATCGCCTCTCAGAGGAAATGAGTCCAGAAAAGGGGAACCATTTCATCACAGGAAACAGAAGGGACTGTTGGCGGTGGTCCTGGGAGGGAGGAGGGGTTGGCCATGGGTGGAGGCTCCTCTGGGAGAGCGATGGGAAACAGCAGCAGTTTTGAAACTGGGCAATCTGTGGAGGTCCTTGGGAGATTTTTATTTGCATGCCACTGAGCAGAACACTTCTGTTTGTAAAAGTCAATGACAAAAAAAAGACTCTTAACCTAGAGCACACTTCTCTCTAAAGGCAGCACCTGCCTGCTGACTAAATCACAACTAAGGTGGGTGGAATAGAAGGGAATGGAGAATTATTAGAAGAAATTAAGAAGGTGCATGAGACACAGGAGATGCAGCTCTGAGAGTGTGCAGAGGAGTTGTGAAAAGCAGGGAGAATTTGGGAGATTGAGGAGATAATAATATTTATTTCATGTCTGCTTTTCAGTGCAAGCCATTGTACACAGGTCTATACTGGGGCCAGTCTGTGCTACTTGCCAAACTGGTGGAAAGCTGGTGTATTTGAGTAACAAAGCAGTTAAAACATCTCTAAAAGCAACATATTGTGGGTAGGCTGGTGGAGTTTAAAGTTCTAAAAGTATGTGAAAACTAGTCTAGGAGCACAAGCACAAAAATGCTTTATTTCTTCCATTTCTCACATGGCCAAAGGAAGGACTTACTCGGAGTCCCAACTGTGCAGCTCCAGAAGTCAACATGCACAGACTTCTTTGAGCTTAAAATGAACTCTCAATTTTCTGAATTTCATGTTTAAATGATTCCTATACACTAGTTAAGAACTGGTCCCAGGTCAGTCTGTGATGAGGCCTCTTCCTCCACGCACTCTGTTGCCTCTTGCTGTGAGCATCTCTGCTGTGCCCTGGGCTGTACCACAGTGACGCTGCTGCTTTGCAACACTGCCAGTAGGTACAGGCAGCTCACACCCAAGGCAGCTCTTGCCAATGGCAAATTGTTCCCCGATGGCAGGAAATCCCTGAGAATGCGGCTGACTCGGCTCACCTGGCTTTTCTCCATGGGCCAGGTATTCTGGGCGGATCTGATTTGAGATACACAAGGTCCAAGCTGTGGGATTTTATGAAGCACATCTGGAAGGTAAGACCCGAGCTCCCCTCTTAGCCATGAGGAGGTCAAAGTCATACAAACCAGGTTTCCTTTCTGTCTCAAATCATCAGTCCCACCTCACCCCCTCTGCTTCATCCCCCCATCTTCAGGTCCAGTCTGTTTTCTGTGCCTCTGAGGGTTTTAGCTGCGCTCCCTCATCTGTGCTCATCTCTAGATGTTCCTCACCATCTCACTGCTACCTCCCCTTAGTCTGTACCCTCCATCTCTTGGACTGAGCCGACCCTTCTTCACCCCTCCAGGCTGAGTGGTGGCCGGAGCTGGAGCCCAACGAGCATTGCTCCCGCCTGCTGGTTCAACACAGCGCAACTGTCTTTGGGAAACACGTCTCCTTGATGGATCTGACAGTTTCTGTCAGGCAGGTATGTCCTGTGCTGGTAACCACCAGCACCCTGAGCTGAAGGGCTTTGTCACCTGGAAGTCTGAGTCTTTGCCCATCCTGCCCAGTGTAGCTTTTCCTGGCAAGTGCATCAGACACGTGGGTCAAAACTACACACTGGCATTGGGCTGCTCCCTGGCTGGGCAGCACAGAGAGAAGGAAGGGGTCATAGGGGCTACTGTGCCCACAGAACAACTTAAAAAAAAAAAAAAAAGAAAAAGAAATAAAAGCTAGTACGTGAGAAAACCAATCCCAAGGGACCTTCATACCACATTGTCCCAGCACTTTACAATACTGGTGAGGACCTTTCCAGTCCATGGCGAACATGCCTGGGGAAGGTGTAGCAAGCACTCAGTACAGTAAGAAACATTTTGAGGATGTTGATCAGTGTGATCCAAAAAACTCAGGGTTTTTCACACAGCTTTCTGGAAAGCACAAAGATTTGTCAATTTATGAACATTTATGCTAAAGAAATAAATTCGTACTAAGGTTGAGAGCTCCTCCTGAAGTTAAAAGTTTGCTCATTATTTTCTTATTTTCTGGTGGTTTGTTTTTTTGGTTTGTTGTTTGTTTTTGTTTTTGTTTTTTTTTTTTTCCTTTTGGAAATATGTTTATTAACCACCCTCTCCACTTTCAAAAAATCAGAAACAGCATGTCTTGCAGATCAAGATCAGCCCTGAGGGAGATAATAGAAAGTTGACACAAATTGATAAAGAATTAAAGGAAATTAGAAATAATGCCACTAAACATGAATCAATGGGAACAGATATTCTCACTTTCAGTTTTAGTTGTGGGTTTGGGTTTTTTTGACGAAATGCTAAGCTTGCCTGATAAAACTATGAACTTTGTTCTCATACCTATTCCCATATTAAAAATTCAGAACAGCAAAACAAGTCATGATACAAAACTTTGATAAGGGATAGATCTCAGTGTAATTAGGGAATTATCACTAAGTGGATATTGATTGTATCTCTGTTTAATTCTTAGATCTGTGCTATTTAGCACTGATATTAATGAACAGGAGAAAAAAGACATTAAAAAAACATTACAAAGAGTTTGTACCTGACAAAACATTAAAGGAGTAGTGAACAATCTAGCCCAAAATCCCAGCAATATTTGCAGTGCTTCAAAGAACCAAGTGTATGACCATGTAGCTGTGTATTTGGGGGCACATCAAAGAGCTCAGAGCAAGTACTTCATGTCATGCAAGATAAAAGGTTGAACCTGATTTCAGCTAAAACCTCTAGTGACTGTTGTAGCTACAAAGGAGAAAGCCAGAGCAGGAGCAGGGACGTTGTATTACCTCCATACCATGTTTCAGTCACTAGTACTGAGCTCAGAGTCCAGGACCAGTGTCAACAATCCAGTAAGGCTGTTGACCTGAAGGTCATTCAGTGATGAACAAGATCAAGTGAAAATTTGGAAGCATTTCCTAGATTAGATTTTTAAACTGTTTGGGACTGGTAGAACACTGTAAACTCTCAGGGATTCCCGTGGGCCCACAGCAAAGTCATCCTGTCCTGACCCATCTGTGGATGTCCCAGGCCAATACATGGCTCTGCTGGATTTCCCTGGGCCTGGGGAGCATTAACAGTTGGCAAGTGGTCTGTGACTCATGGCCCTGACAGAGCTTGACTTTGTGCATATCATCTGATGAGAAGATGGAGTAAAGGGGGCTTTGAGCACAGTTTAGGAGACATCTCAAGCAGACCTCAAGCTGTTAGAGTTGCTGTACTAGAGGGCTGGACCATTGAGGACTTTCCCCTGAGTGTGCTCTGCTGCTCTGCAGGTGGGGCCAGGGCTGGTTTTCCTGATCTTTGAACACGCTTTCCTGGGCCATGGGATCATCCTGCAGACGGTGACTCCCCTGGAGCCTCTCCTGCAGAATGTTGTTCACAAAATCTACTACCAGAAGAACATTCCGGCCATAATCCCCAAGTTCATCCTGAGAGCAGAGTGCATACAGGTAACGCCTCCAAAGAACAGCAGCTAAACGTTATTCCCTGGAGCTTGGTGGCTAGATGTGAGATTGAGAGTAGTTGCCCACATGGGTTTAGTTATATGTGGAAGCAAAGCACTCATGGGCAAGATCCTTTCAGTGCTTGGCGTGATCTTTCATTTTTAGTAGCCCAAAGAACTAAACTAGAGGTTTAGTAAAGAGGATCCCTGCAGTGGGTCATGTGTTGATGGTGGCAGAGGCACTACCCCTCTCCTATGGATGAGGAACTCCCAACCTAGACAAGGATAAGACAGCCTCTCCCAAGCTGCAGGAAGTCTTTGAGTGAACTAATAACTGCATCCAGATTTTCAGCATCCCAGGCAGGTGCTTTAAGATCATCCTTTCACCTTTGCTAAGAACTGTGCCAAGAAACCCTCCTGTTGTTAAATTATCATGAGATTCGGCATCTCTTGCCCCTCCTGACAGAGGTTTTCCAGGTCCTTGACACTGGAATTCATGGAAGTGGTAAAAGGTCCCTCTGGAGGTCTCCAATATCCCAGCTGGAGCAAGACCATTGCCAAATTCAAGCATGTCAAGCGTGGCCTTGATGGCCTCCTCCTTTGGAGAATGCCCCCACATCCTGGGCTTCATCAAGAGGAGTGTGATCAGCAGGTTGAGGGAGGTGATTCTGCCCCTCTACATGGATCTTGTGAGACCCCCCTGCAGTGCTGTGTCCAGCTCTGGGGGCACCAACATCAGAAGATCACTTGCTTGAGTGGGGCCAGAGGAGGCCACAAAGATGCTCAGGGGGCTGGAGCGCTCCCCTGTGAGGACAGGCTGAGAGAGATGGGGGGGTTCAGCTGGAGAAGAGAAGGCTCTGGGGAGACCTTATAGCAACCTTTCAACACTTAAAGGGGCTACAGGAAAGATGGGGAGGGACTCTTGATCGGGGGTGTAGGGATAGGATGAAGGGTAACGGGTTTAAACTGACAGAGGGCAGATTTAGATTAGATGTAAGGAAGAAATTCTTCCCTGTGAGGGTGGTGAGACACTGGCACAGGCTGCCCAGTGAAGCTGTGGCTGCCCCCTCCCTGGAAGGGTTCGAGGCCAGGTTGGACGGGGCTTTGGGCAACCTGGGCTGGCGGAAGATGTCCCTGCCTGTCACAGGGGGGTTGGGGCTAGATGATCTTTAAGGTCCCTTCCAACCCAAACTGTTCTATGATTTCTCTAGCTCCTTGGGTGACCCATTCCATTATTGCTCTACCCATATTGTTAGTTTTTAATGTCCATTTTGAACTTCTCAACCTGCAATGTGTGGTTGTTATTTCTCATTATACCAACTGGTACTACCAAGAAAAATCTGACTCCATCATCCCTGTAATTCCCTTACAAGCAGTCAGGAGAGTTCATGTCATTCTCTTCTGTCAGGGGTTAAAGCTTGGAAACTGCTTGGGCTGACCAGAGAGGGTTTCACTGGTACTACAGTAAAAATCGCCAAAAGATTTTCAGATGCCAAACACCTATCCCAAATAGAACTTAGCTGTGTTAGCCTGTATTGTGTAAATGCTGGCTTAATATTTTGCATCTTACTAATGTGAATGAGCAGCACTAATTTCTGCAGAGACTTGCCCACAAAGGAAAACGCCATAATCTTACTGTGTGTCTGAGCAGAGTTTAAGATGAAGATGCTTAGTTTATAAAGACCCGGTTGGCTGGAGCTACCCAATGAATCAAAAATCTCAGGTGGAGCAGCTCCTACCTTCACACATCTATTTATTTTTTAGTATCTCCTATGGCAGGGGCAGTCTAAGATGAAAGTGGCTTCTTGTTTGGGAGCTACAATGGGCTAAACATCTGCTAACTGTGGACAGAGCTGTAGTGTTACAAGTTACAAACAGCATGGGCTGTTCCACACTGGACATTTGGGAGAAATGCCGACAGGTAAATCTAGTGTGCAGGTAGCACGTGCAAAACTGCTGGTTCAGCTTCGCCGCCCGAATGGGACCTTTCTTCTTCCCCCAGTTTGAGCGTGATATGACCATCTGGAATAACAAACAGTACCTGCCCAAGCCACTGCTGGTCAGAGAGGACTCCAGCATCCAGAAGCACCGACGCTGGTATGCCCAGTTCTACAGCGAGAAGAGCATGAGGCTCCCAGTGCAGGAGGGCCTGGACTGGTGAGGACCTTGCTGTCAGCTGCAGAAGGTGGCCAGAGGCTCTGAGGTGGCCCCTGCCCACCCTGGGCTGGTGGGCAGTGGTGCGGGGCAGGCATGATCAATATAACAAATACTGGCACTGGCACAGGGAGCAGAGCCTGAGCCCTGGTGATCCGCTTTTACCTTCTATGCTCAGGGCAACAAAGTCCAAAGGGTGTAACATGCTTGCTCTTGTGTCTGTGCTGCAACATATGAGCTGAGCATGAATTTAAGATTGCCAGAACTGTCTTTTAAGTCCCCTTGCCTCTCGCTGCTGCTATCAGTTTGAGTAGTTATACAAAAAACTTTTTATCTGGTCTTTTATTGCCTGAAATGTCCTTTCCCAGCCAGGCCCTTCTGTTGGCTGGGGCAGGGTTCAGCTCTCCTGGGGAGCCTTGGCCAATGTCTGCATGGCATCCGAGGTGTGACTGCAGAGCCCACAGATGTATGCTGCCTTCCTCTCTCTGGCAGCAAGCAGGGCAGTGTGGGTTTTAGCTGCCCACTGTGTCCTTACCATACCTGTGGGCTTCCTCGAGCCTACGGAGCTCCTGCATGAGTCAATTCCTGATGGAGCTATTGCACCTAGTTGGGAAGAAGAAGGACTATCCTGGTGGCCAAACCACTTGGACTGACAACTCTGCAAGTCAAGGATGTGAGTAAGATCCTGCTTTGGTAGCTCCTGGATTCCAGCAATAGCTTGGGTACATGGTTGGCTTTAAAATTTGTGTCTCATGGCAAAACCAAAGGTATTGCTGTCACTGTGATCAGAAATTAAGCTAACACATGTGTACTAGGCTGCAAATCTGTCAAAAACTGGTCTGGATTCTCCTGTGCTTTGTGCCTACATGCTCTATATGAAAGGGCTAAATTCTGCCTTTGCTTCATACCCTGGAGAAACCTGTAATCTCCACAGGCAGAGCCTGCCTTGTATGGTTAGCAGGACTCTTGGCAGTTACTCTATGCCACAAGCCAGCAACAGCAAATGCTCAAATCCAGGAGCTTTCCAAGGAGACTGGTAGCTGCTGTTCTCATGTGCTGTGTGCTTGCGTCTTGTGCATTCTGCTCTTTGCTGAGACTTCTGGTTCCTCCTTCATCATTAATCCAGAGCAGGACCAGGAATGTGCCATCGCAGCTCTCTGCCAGTGCAGAGTCCATCACCCACCCTGGCAGCATCCCAGATGTAAGCTGTGCCTTTACCACTCACATCTGGCTATTGCACTGTCAATATTTCCCTATTAAATTTTTTAAAAAAATTATCTCATGTTCATGGTTTGTTGTTCTTCACTGTTTCGTGGGGTGAGAACACCACGGGAGGAGTGATTCTGCAGCTGGCCCATGCAGTTCTGCTCCAGGAGCCACAGGGAATCTCCAGCAAGGAACCTGAAGCACTGCCCAACAGCCTGCGCCTCTTGGGAACCTGAGAGCACTAGTATGTCTCAGTGGCCCTGCCCAGGCTCACCTGGGGCATTCATCCACACCCTGCCCATGGCCCAGGAGCCCCATTTCAGCTCAGCTCTGGACCTTCAGTCCCTGTCCTGAGCTGTAGGAAGCCTCCAGCTCAGCTGCAGACATGGCCATGCCTGGCGGATCTGAACTCTGACCACAGACCAACTTCCCAGCTTGACCTTCACTCTGTCCCATCACCACAGACCTGCCCAGTGATGGCTGGGCTGTGTCTGGACACCCTCACCAGATCCCAACTCCGAGCTGCAGGTCGACTTTCCACCTTGACCTCAGACCTGCTTTATCACCATGAGCTTGCCTGATTAGAGACTTGTGGTTGAGCCTGTGGCTGGGCCTGCCCTGCCCGTCCCACTCCTTCATCTCCCAGCATCCCATTCCTTAGGGTGCAGCCACCCTCACAGTGACAACGATGAAGACGCAGTAAGAGGCAGAAATCGCATCTACCAGACCAGAAATGTTAGATTACATGGCACGGGTCACCCACACGTTCAAGGGGGCACAGGCCACCACACACAGACACACACAGGTACAGACCTCTTGTGACACAACTGGGCTGTTGCTCCCTGGCCCTTGCTGTGTTCTCACATACAGGATCTTGGGATGCACAAAACTCCAAGGCAGGCAAATTGTTGAAGATCAGATTAGAGATGATGAGTTAAATTAGTTTTGCTAGATTCATCAGTCCTTCTGATGAAATCAGAAGAAACTAATACCTCCAGCAGAGCCTGAATTTTGAGCTACCATTTCCTTTATTACTAAGGCTAAAGTAGTGTCCTGTTAAGGCAGAAATTAGAGAATGAGAAAATAAGACAGGATTAGCTTAAGCCTCTTGTTTCCATTTGCAATCTTATTTATCCTTTTAAATGGGTCTAGCAAAAAGGACCATTCAGTGCCAAAAAGCACTGGCATGCCAAGGAGCACTGTTCTAACAGTCTGCTCTGCCTTTTGGCTGTATATTATCCACTTTACATATTTTGATTTTCAAACAAATCCTAACTCCTATCTTGTTAGGATGTGAAGGCGTCTAATCTTATTGTTTACTAAAATAACTTTTATAAATCTACTGCAAAGCTACAGCCATTCTTATTATTGTATTGATAGTTGTATTTATTATCTTCACACTTGATCACTAGCCAAGAGTTTATCCAATTGCCAGACCCTATTATTATTCCATGTCATTAGGGGTTTTTTTCCCCAACTACCAAATTAATTACAAATTTCCCAATTCTCAAGCAAAGGTTTGGTTTTGGTGGTTTTTTTTTTTTTTTTTTTTTTTTTAAGGGGGTGTGAGGGGCATTAGAAAACCCCAAAGAATATCAAAACAGGACAAAGAAAAGAATACATGAAAGGTGACAGACAGCGTACCTTGGATTTTCCAGCAGTAGGCCTGGTCTCTTCCTTTGAACCCTGGTCTACGTACTTGTTCCACTTGGGACAACTCCCTGGTTGTTTCTGGTACGTTTGGAGATGGGTCTTGGAGTTCCTGATGGCATCAGCTACTGCGTTCCTGCATGCAAAGCTGCCAGTGATCCCCGCTCATCAGTGCAGCTTTGGGACCCTGTGAGACACTTCAATGCAGGTCAAGACCAACATAACCTCTAAGTAGGTTAATTAATTAATTAATCTATACACGCAGATTTCAGTGCCCTTCTGTATTTTGGCTATTACTATAAATAGCTGCCAAGGGCCTTGTCTCATGGAAAGGAGTGAGCCTGCTCAGTGCCCAAATGCCTCTTCTCCTGGGGCGAAAGCAAGTTTGCAGGTGGCGCTGCTGATACAAGCAAATCTTGGAGCAGGCGGGGCAGAAACATGGTACATTAAGACTATCGTGCCCAGTACCAGCTTGCACCACCTCAGCAGCATAAAAGCCAGCTGAGCTGAACCTGTCCCGGTGGTGTGAATACAAACGCTGCATTACAACACACCAAACCACCCCTCCAGCTGGCCAAGTAGACCTGGTTCACTTTCTGCTACATATAAACATCTCCCTGGTGAGAGAGGAGCAGGTTTACTGCACTGGCAACCAAGCACGAGACAGAAAATGCTCTGGAAAACTCTTTTAGGAGGTTTGGGTGCACAAGGGATGCAGGGAGGAGCCCGCTGTAGAGCTGTACAGCTGATGAGGTCCATCAAAGAGACTGCTGCTGGGACACGGGTCACTCTAACAGACACTTTCCCTCTTCACAGCAAGACACTCGGCACTGGGCGATGTCCCATTCATGTGCTCGAAAAAATACAAAACCCCAGACACTCTTTTTTTTTTTTTTTTTCTAAAGGTTGTTTTATTGTAAAACCATAAATACAACACTGACATGAAAATCCTCAAGCAACGGATGCTTTCTTACAGTTACAGTTTGTCTTCTGCCTTGGCATCAACTCTGAAAAGAATGTTGCAGAAACATGTCTCTAAGATATCTTCAAATAACCAAGCTCTGGCCTGGAGCGCTCAGCTTGTTTGGAAGCTAAGTGGAACTATTCCTCCTCTCTTGTGGAATATTTCCATTCAGACAGCAACAGACTTGTAAAAACAGCAACATTTAAACACCTTGATTTTTTTTTTCTTTAATAATCCTTTTCATTTGACGTCAGTCTAAGTTTCAAACAGCACTGAATTCATTTAGCTGTAAAAAAACCAAACCAAAACAAAACAAAATCCTAAAAAGAAAAAAAAATCAGAAGAACTTGAGTTGGCCTCAAGCGTTCATATATCACAATGAAAACCAGCAACTCAACCCCGTGCAATATTGCTCTCTATTGAGTCATTCGATCCACACCAACAATACATGAGACTTCAAACAGGTTTTGTTTTGTTTATTAACACAGCAAGTGTGACATTAGATAACCTTTTAAATACAGTACATGGTACAGTGCGGGGCCAGCTGCCCGCACTTTTCCCCATTATGAAGACAAAGCCAGCGGTGGCGGTTTATAAAAATATTGTGTTGCTACAAAAGTATAAATTAATGCTACCGGTATTAAGAAATATTAAACACATAAAACTTATAAGGATTAAGAAAAATATTCATTAATACCTGTAGAAAACTCTGGCCTAAAAAAGATATTTTTTGTATATTTTTTGTATATTTTTTTGTATTTTTTAAGATGACATGAGATTCTTGCACTCGCAGGTAGAGACACACGCAGGTGCATCTGTGGTATTGCCTAGAACATCTGCATCTACAGAAAGGAAGGAAATGCACACAAGTTACCGAGGGGAGGGAAGGTGAGGAGGGAAAGGAGAACATTAATTGTCTGCTTGATGAAACAACAAGAATTCAGCTCCCAACAGGAGGTTTCAAAAAACGAACATACAAACGAGGAACAGCTTCTCTTTTCAGACTGGCTGCAAACAAGGATTTCCTGATGGTTTGGTTTGTCGGCATGACACTTTCTAGCTACGGCGTGGACCAGAATCCTCACTGTCTGGACGATGTGCGTTCCTCCTGGACTTACAGCCTTGTCTAGTCACCTGTCACGAATTTTTTCAGTTCATCTGTTATCAGTTTTCCTTTTAAATAATTAAAAAAAAAAAAAAAAAAAAAAATTAAAGTCCCAGTAAGTTTAAAGGGACCATGGAAAACAGCTCCTAAGACTGTTGCTCCTTCCAGAATACATGTCTCCTTCCGTGAGCGGAAAGGTCCTTCTCCATAGATAGCAAGAAAAAAAAATAAAAATCCCTCCTCCCACCCCCCCCAGCCCACTGGAAAAAAAAAAACCACATCCTATCCACACACATTGCAGAGACCGCCACAAGAACCCCCAGAAGACTGAAAACAAGCATTCAAGGCTGATGAGGCTGGAAGTGTCTTTTTAAGGAACTTTGGTTGTAAAAAGCAAGGATTTGACATGCCTGTACTGATCAACTCCACTGTAAAATATTCCTATTGTTAAGGCTGTGCTGCTCACCTGGGTACCAAGACACGTTGACCACTGTCAGTGATGCTAGAATGATGGGAAGGAAGAAAATCCTTTCAGTCAGTGGTTGATGTTGTGCATCGATGAGCCATTCACGTGACCCATTTCAGAAGCTATTCTAAAAAAATTCAAACTCAGCTGCCTACAGATCACCAAACCCTAAAGGGTCTACTGGATACACCGTTGTCTAATGTGAGCAAAACTCTTCTGTCAAGTTGTAAAACAAAGGACTCTAACAGGAGTAGTAAAAAACCCAACTAACCAGCCAAACAAAAAGCAAAATTAAACAGAAATCCCCCAAACATTCAATATATAAAATTAAATTTCAGGGCAATACACTCTCATTGGTTTACCATTTCTGGCCTAGCATAAGCAAACTATCCCACAGCTCTAACGAGGCATTCAACTTGGAGCTGTGCTTGGGTTTATCTCTATTTTATTGTTTTGTTCAGTGACATTTCCAGAAGCCCCAGGAAGATGATAACCCGTGGCACAGGGACAGGTCCCATGCACTGTGAAAAGGGAGTTCTTATTGCTACGGAGCAACACCGTAAGAAGTATCTGACACAGGACACTGTGTCTCAGTTGATGTTTCTGGGTATTCCCAACAGATCCCACGGATTCACGATCATAGTGTAGCACTGAAAATGCACAGCAGAAGCAGCAAAACATTTAATACTCTCCCTCACCCCAATTCTTTCACCTTGGCAGTGTAACACATTTGCTTCTCAGCTGGTGTTTTCTCCTCTGCCCCTCCTGCCAGCTGACATCCCTCCTTCACGAAAACCGGTTAATGTACATACTGGAGTGCTGGGAAGGGTTTGGTGCTAGTGGGGAGTGGCAGGATGCAGAGGAGGATGCTCTGTGAACCCTCCTGGACCTACCAGGCAGGACTGGCATTTTCCATCTCTACATCGGGTCTCTTTTCTCTCAGCAAGGTCCAAAGCAGCCTTGTGCCTTATGGAGTGTGCTCCACGTACAGCCTTGTTTTAAACGACAGAACTCAAAAAACATTCCCATCACAGACTCCCCCCAGATGAACAGATTTCTCCTCCCTGAAAAAGTTTCCCAGAATCTGTGTTTAGTGTCTTCCTGTTCATTTTCATCCTGTTACTTGTAATAATTCCATAGGCAACTTGTCCCTTCCTGCGTGTGCTCCCTCTGAACGCTCACAGGAGCTCCTCTCCACCTCCTTTAGCCAGAGAGATGCAATTAGAGATCTGATTCTTTCCTCAGTACAAAGCAGCAGTCCCAGCCTTTGAATAACTCATTGGCTGCTCTTTTACTGTCTTTTTATCAGTAACTTGGTGCTGTCTACAAATGCACATAGCATTCTCCGTGAAGCACAATGTCTCAGTCACCCTGCTCCTGTGCAACAGTACGTGCTGGCTTGCCTACCGCAGGGTCCAGAAAGTGGGAATGGTCCCTCAGACTGGGAAAGGCTGAGTGGCCTCATCCACCAATATAAATGTATATGGGAATTTCTTCTCATACTGAATTTTCTATGTTATTGCAAGCAGTTGGAGAAAAACAAACCAATCAACCTGAGACATCTCACTGAATACTGTATTAAGTCAGATACTACAATTTAGAGCTCAAGCAATATTCAGAAGTGTCTCCCCTCTATTTTCAGTCATTTCTGAGCTTTGAGTATATCTGCCACAACTTCATTGCAAAATTCACAGAAGGATCATGACTCCCTGAGCTGCTTCTGGACGTATTCTCTGATCAGCAGGGGAGAACACCCAGGAAGCGCAGTTAAACCAGTGCAGGCAGTTCACATGGATGCTTAAACCAATTTATGTCAAAGTTAAACTGGTTTAACCAGCAATTAACAGACAACTGAATTAGACAAAACCTGAGCCCACAGTCAGTTTTCACAGAAAGTTTTCCAGATTGCACTAGTTCACATACAACCAAATCAGTTTTCTTATAACAGATACGTATCTCTGACAAAACGGAAGTTTACTTCCATCTAAAACTGACCCAAATGCAAGACACCAAGACCATCCTGCGAGTCAGAATACAACTACTGTCTGCTGCTAGAGACACGGGGAGAAGAAACAGGCACAGGAGACAATCCATGTTCTCCACCGACCCTCCGACTGCTGTACTCACACATAAACAACCGTCTGTTTTGAAGAGCTCTGTCTTTGCGTACCACCTTCTCAGTATTCTAGTAGCAAGGATCTTCAGAGAGGAGTGGAAGGCCCTTCATTCCTTAGAGTTTATCTTCTGTTGGTGCTTGCTCCCCACCTGAAGATCATAACCCCTCTCAAAGCAAACTGTGAAGTCAGAAGTCTGCAAGGTCAGGCACAGAGTAAGCAGCAGAAACACATGAATGCCTGGAGGACACATATGCTGTTTTTGTGTTTCAAAACATTTCTCAAGTGCAAGTAAACAAACAAGCAGAAGGCAAATTCCTAATATGACCTACCAGAGGATGATCCTAATTCTGAGGACTTCTCCCAGCTCAAAGGGAGCAGAATCTCATGACAGCTCTGGCCAAACTAAGAGACCTTCTCCTCTCCAGTCTACCATCACAGGATGGGCAATGCTCCTTATCACACAAGTGCTGCTCCATATCACTGAGCCATCACAGAATAGAATCAGAGAATAGTTTGGGTTGGAGTAACCTGGCAAATAGCTTCCAAAATTCAGACCCTGGTAAAGAACCTACGCTCCCTAGAATGCAAATCCAAGTCTTGAAGAGGGAAGGAGAAACAGGAGCAAAAAAGCTTGGCATTTAGGGTAAATACATGTGCTCCAGATGTGCTTCTCTCCTTTTAATGAAGCATGTCAAACAAAAGTCAGCCTGTGAGCGAATACAGCAAGAATATCTCCTCTGAGCTGAACACCCTGTAACCATGTTTAACAGTCAAGAAAAGCTGTGGCTTCTTCCACTGAGTTGCTGGAGAAGGGGACTGGCCAACAAGCTTCTCTTCTCACCCACTTTCCAGATTGCTCCTTTTTAGGGCTTTAGGTTTTATCTTGCTTTTTCAGCTGCTAAGTTGAGTTTTTAAGTCTTTGGGAGAATTTCACCATCACTAGTGCAACTATAACCAAAGTTGCCTTGGAGGGAACAGTTACTCAGATAGGGGGGAGGGCCAATCCGTCCCTCTCTTTTGAAAGCTCCAGATCTGATGCTAAAGCCACACTGTAAAAAGGGGAAGGGGAGATGGGCTGGGACGTAAGAGTGGCTGTGGCCTTTCTGTTTGCATGCCCTGGCTGTCCAGCTCATTGCTGTGCACAGCCCTGCATCAAATGGGTGCACAAATTACTGCAATTTTACCTCATTCTCAATTTCAGAGCTTTAAATCTGTGCTAACTCTGCTTTGTCCACTTCCCCACCCTTAATGCCTTGCAGACAGACAACACAATGAGCCTGAGTTGGCAAATCACACAGAAGTTAGCAGCCTGTCCCTTAGCAAAGGGGTGTTGGGTTTTGGAGCTTTCTTTTCAAAGGAATGCGAGGGTTTTGCACATTTGCCTGAGCATCAAAGAGCCTCGGAGTGGCTCTCGGGATCTCAGGAAAACCAAGGAAAAAGGTCTAACATATCATTATGAGAAAGAACTATAAATCCTGTCTCCAGTTCTGCCTATCAGCTGAGCTGCACAGTACACACTGTAGCCTCAAAAGCCAATTTTGCTTTGGATTCATCCTCCAGCTAAGTTTTCTTGCTGCAGGATACCTTGTGCTTTTCAGTGGGAACAGCAGCACAGCACAAATGCTTTTTAATTGGCACACATCTCACTTATGATTTTTGTTTGTAGTTTGAGATTTAGTTTTCGTTTGTTATACATTTCTCTTGTACTGCAAGTGCAAACAGATGTGTAGACACAGGCCCAGCTGGTGGCTGGGCAGGCAGGATTTGTACGGGACGAAAGAAAACCAGCATGAAAAAAAGTTGGCCCTACAACCAATACGACCATTTGCAAAAGCCACTGCCAGAGAAATAAGATGTCCAAGTGCCTCTGCCTTGGCAGCTCATCTTCAAGTGCTGCTACCCTGCAGCTGTCAGTGGGGTTGCAGACTCTGTCTTTTAAGATATCCATATGCAAAACTTAGATTTAGGAGACAACTAGTTTTGCCCTGATGCCTGTAACAGTGCTGAGAGGTCAATCCAAACGCTACACTCAAGCTAACAGTAGGTCCTGTTTCCAGGCTGAAAAGGACAAGACAGCTGGGTGCAAAGAGCTATCCTTAGTGACCTTGACCCATGGAAGGTCTCTAGCATGCAAGCTGTGCCCCATGGCATGGAAGCTGTCAGTTAGTCCCTGTCAGGTTCAAGGCATCTGCACACAAAGCCTGAGATTGGGTTTGCCATTTCTCATGTCTTGGGACTTGCAACTCCTATTACAACCAGAGATGGGATGGGCAGATAGATCTTGGTTTAACATCTGTTCAACAGCAGCACTTTGAAGAGGGCCCCCAGTCTCGCCACTGCATCGTCAGCAACACCACCCTTGCACTGTAGTAAGTCCGTCCTCCTGAACCTCTGATACTGCTCTGCTGCCACTGTGCCTGCAGCCCCCTAGCACACTACTGGAAGCAGGAGAGACTACTTCAAAAATAAGAATTTGCTTCAGTTTGCTTCCAAGATACAAGTCCCAGTGATGAAAAATTGTTTGGCACCAGAAGCTGGGAACTGTGCAAGAGGCAACTAACCTGACAGCCTGCAGAGATCCTGTCCAGCAGCCCATGAACTGTGCCTGTGGGCACTGGACACAGCAGAGCACTGACCTTGGTGGATAGCAGAGTGACTGAGATGTTTCTGTGTTACGATGATCTCTAATTGCATTTGGGGTGAGCCAGTAAGTGTGAACCTTGTTTAAGGGCCCATGGCCTTCCCAGCCAGAACAATTCAGCAACATAACAAGTAGTGTAATGCACTGTAGGTATTAAAAAGACATTCGTGCTACTAGAAGAAACCATTCCAAATAAAATGGGAAGATATTCTTTGCACTCAATCAGGAGCACTTACATTCAGAAGGATCTTTGAGCCCATGCACTTCTCTAAGCTTCCTTCAAACCCCAGTTTGACAAAACTGATGATCTTTGTTCCCCTGAAAAATCATACACCTTGGTTTGTCCTTGGCCTTGTGAAGGTTATTTTGAGTGTGTGTACTGAGAAACTTTTTTACAAAAAGCTTAGGTACAAGGGTTCTCAATGGCAGCTGGCACACCTGGCAAGCTAGCTGGTGGCCCACAGCCATCTGTGCTGCCACTGCTCACTTGCTTTTCCTGGTTTCTAGCTTTCCCATATAAGCAACTGCTGTGGTTCCCATAAGGATATTATTTAATTGCAAATGGGCTACTCTAGAACAAGTTTGAGAACCCCTGATGTAAAAAAATTCACAGAGAACTTAATTAGCACTGGGAATTCAGAAAAGAAGTTATGCTGTAAAAAAATAAATCCAAGAAATGTAACAATTACACACATTTTCTGCCATGAGCTGTTTCTCTTTGTTTTAAATCAAACTTATAATCACTAGCTAACATGTTAAACTCAAAACCGGGAGTGGAGACAGAAGAGTAACTTTTGGTTTTTTTGAAAAAACATGTATGAAACCGTTAAAAATGAAATTAAAAAACTCCTTAAAGTCTCCCTTCCTGATTTCTAAAGATATTGGTGTTCATAAAACACAGCTGCCCTGATAATATGCACCATTATGTCAAGAAGGCTGCAGACAAATGCCCTCAAGGTGTACAGTTATTCAAAGGAGCAAAGTCCAGTGCTGAACTGGTCTGTTCAATGTAGTCTGATTATCCATGGCAAGATGGCCCAGGGGACAAGAGGAGAGGTGGGGTGGAGGAGAAACAAAAGAAACTTCAAGTCACTTTAGATCTCAGCTGCCTGAAGACTTTAGAACATGAGCCTCCCATTCGTCTGCCCACTTGAAAACATTAGAAAGTCTGTCAAGTCCACACACTATCTATGGAAAGGAGCACGTTCCTGGCAGAGGGCTGTCTCTCTCACGTGCTCAGCTTTCCTTTCAAACTTAATTTTATATATATTTATATTTTTATATATATATAAAAAAGCACTTGGTTTCCAGGGGCATTCATAATGAGGTCCACAGTGTTTAGAACTTAAAATTCTTTTTCTTTGTTTGGAACAGTGTTTTAAAGTTTTGTTTTAATTAAAAGACAGTCTTAAAGCATGTTGGACTTCAAAAACATGAGTTTGTTCATGTCTTCTGGACTGAGTAGCCGTCTCCTTTTGATTAAGAGAGCCTGCTCACACATATTTACACATTCGCTTCTGGCACCAACAGCAGGCACTGCTAGGAGCCAAAAGGCTAGCTTGGCTAGTTTTGTATGCTTTTGGGTAACACACGACCAGTACTGAAACAGGTCAGGGGTGGCCTGGAAAAGAGGTTCTTGCAAATAATCATAGACTTCATTTTTCCCAAACCAATCTTCTTCCTGAGCTGCTGTGGCTTCCCCTGCTGCCCGAGGCTTCTTGGTTGAAGGTTCAAATTCTGTTTCTTCTGCCCAGGACTCTTTCACCTCATTGATCAACTCACAGACCTTGCCAATGATCTCTTCGTGCTGGTATGGTGGGACGGGCCGCAGCTTCTGCTGAGGGTCTAAGATCATGGCTACCTTGTGTGCCGAATGAACTTTGAAGTTCTCCTTCAGCGCCTCCAAGAAGAGGTGGCAGAGTTTGCTGACTACGCCAGCATCGTTAGCTTTGGAAGTGAACAGTTTCTCCAGTTTGACGTAGGTGGGCAGTACCAGCTGCAAGGTGGGCCGGCTCTCATTGCTCAACTCAATCACCGCCTGTTTCACCGGAGCCAAAATGGCTGCCAGGTTGCTGAGCAGGTGTTTGTTCAGGTTTTGGATGAGGTTCATCTTCTTGGCCCTGCTGTAGAACTCGCAGATCTGCTCGTAGCGCTCGTGGACAAGCAGGAGGGAATCGGTGACCGAGTTCCAGCAGGGCGGGGGTGAGGTCTCTTCCAGGGAGCCAAAGGTCTCCTTGGAGAGGCCTGTGGATCCTGCCAGATCTTCACAGACATTCAGGAGCTCGATCACTTCGTGCATATTGCGAGCCTGTAGTGTTCGCTTGTTCAGCACACTCTGCACTACTGAGTTCAAGGCACAGGCCGAACAACGCAAGCACATGCCTGCCTTGGAGAACGCAGAGGAATTGACTTTGCAGTCTGTGACATACACCGTCCTGATCTCTGACATCACAAACTCTGAGAGCACGTTCTGTACCCAGTGGTGGATAAAATCACCATTATCTCGAATGTCTACGCCCTTAATTCCCAGGACGTAACTCTTGATGTGGTTGCCTTCCACCTGATAAGCTGTCAGGATGTAGCAAGAATCGGGGCCGATGCTCTGAGAGTGGCAAGTGACACCGATGCCAAGGCAGGCATTGCTGCCCAGGGCGCAGGTGACCTTCACCTTCACTTGGTTGTACATCCGAGGCAGATGCTTCAGTGCCAGTGTGTTGAAATTGCCAAGGATTTCGGTGACAGAGAAGGCACCATAGCGAGCTCCACTATCCACCAGGGTCTGTGCTAGTTTGATGAATTCCTTCCCACTCACCACGCTCAGAGCCCCCAGGTCAGTGCACATCACCCTCAGGAGCCTCTCGGCAATGTTCTGCCGCTCCTTCTCTGGGATCGCGCTGTTCCCTACTGAACCACTCGCGGATGCTGCAGTGAAATACAAGGAGGGAGAGAAAGTACCATATGAGCATTGCTCCTCTGCAACAGGAGAGAGGAGGAGGTCACAGAACAATTCTCAGAGACACCCAAAGAGGTGGACCATGCCCAGATGATGGGAGAGACATCTCCAACCCTGGATTTCTTCCCCCAATGGTTTCTGGAGAGAGGAACCTCCAGACACAGGCCTTGCACTTCCTTAGAGCAGCTCGAAGGTTATCTGCATGCCCTCCCTGGCGTGGGGACTGAGACAGAGCACACACTATCTACTCACAATCCAACGCATTAACCAGTGGCATCTCCATAGTGTTCAGTGAGGAACTGCTTAGATAAGTTATAATCATGTGTGCTGTTTGCTACCCATATCTATGGGCTGGTGTCACAGCTTAGTCAGCTGGAAAGCTGGACATCTTTCCATTTTTGTGATTTGAGCCTTTTCTTTGAGACAGTTATTTTAAGAAGGGTTGCTTCAGTAAAGCACACAACTTCCTCCACCATCTCAAACAGCACTGAAGCCCAAGTTTCCATTTCTTCCTCTGATTTCCAGCAACCTTGCTATTTGTGACGGATTTCAGGCAACATGAATGTAATTTTTGGCCACACCAGAGCACAAAAGCACCATGCTTTTGTATCATCCTTCCCCCAGGCTGCTCAGCCCAAATGCTTTGGAACTGATTTCCCACAGGGCTGTATTTGGTCCCTGCCAGCACAGGGAGTGACAGGTTATGCCTATGTCACACCATGATGACTGGATTAGTTTTTTAACCCCAGGCCAGGAAGTCTGACCTTGGATCAGAAGCTAACTTCTTCCAGGAGTTCCCAAATGCATCTTCCTTACAAACCTTTCCAACTGCCTCCCCAGGGTTCCCAGTACTTTTTGCATACGAGCGCTCCTGTACGGGAATGGTTGCTCTGCTCTGCAGGGTAGTACATGAATTACACATGAAATCAAGCACAGTTAGGCGAGGACAAGGGCCTTGTGCAATGCCCATCACTGCTGCACCCTCTCTGTCACTTGTTCAAAGTGGACAGGTAAGCCCAGGATGAAAGAGCAAATGCTGCTACGTACTATTGTTGGCATTATTTCTTTGGAGCTGTGGTTTCCACTTTTCTTCAACAACAGCTAGAGGTGATCTGGGCTGGCTAGAGGCAATATTGTTCTCGTTGTCAGCTGTGGGGCAAGAGACAGGGAAGTGTTAGAAGCACAAGGTAATAATGTACACAAATAATGGGAAACAGTACCCATCTGCTTAGCATTTACTTATGGTTCCCTTAACTAAGGTGACACCAATCCACTATGTTCTCTGTAGTTTTTAAGCAGTTTTCAGTGAGGTGACACAGTACCGTCAGAAACGCTGAAAACTGTCTATGGACTTGCAACCTATGACCTCCCAAAACGTGGCTGAAATGACGATGGCTTTTTCTGTGCATCAGTGACATTGATGTCATCAGCACACCTTGAGAAATACTGCACACCATGAGGAATAGATGTTCCTTGTGCAGCCTGACTTGTGCAATTTGTTTGAATTGTTTTGAAATTAAAGGAAGCGTAACAGACATTTCTCTTTCCTTTGCCTTACTGCCTCTTTCTGCACTGCAGGTGGCTTCCCTTTTCTTTACTGTTAAGTACTTTGTTTTTCAGGCTATGCTTAACTCCTTGATATCTAAAGTACCTTATTACAATCTTCATATATGGTTTCCTACCACATTAGAGAGGGAGCCAATCTCCTCTTAGGCTGCTCACTGCTGCCTCAGACTGGAAACAAAAATTTTAAAACCCCAAGTTTCTGGAGTGTGACCAAAGATCATTCCTTCCTGTGGATGTAAAGATACCAACCACCCTAGGGTCTTTGTGTTCATGCTCCCCTTTCTGGACTAAACACTGTCTGCCAATCTGATGAGATCTTTCAAGGAAATGCAGTCAACATCGTAAATTCTGTATCATATCCATGTGCTTTCTTTGCTTGTACCCCAAGAATTTCTCCTCACCCTCCAGAATTAGTTTTCCAGTTTTTAGTATGCTTCACTATGAAACTCTCTGAAATAGGCTGTGAAGGAACAATAAAGCACACAATGAAGAGAAGTGGAAGAGGAAGGAGAAAGATGGAGAGACTGATGACCAGACTGGACAGAAGGATGAAATTAAAAATAAAAAAGACAAAACACATCCTTTACTCATCGTAGCTACACTCATCTCACCTAATTTTGGACATCTCTATTAGACATGTCTCTCTTCAAAGTGGCCCCTTGGGCCTTGTTTTACACTCATTGGTGCAAAATAGGCTTAAGAGTGTGATTCACCCACCCAGGAAGAACTAGATGCCTCTTGTGGTATAAAATCCATCATGCTCTGAACTCACCTGGAGTCAATGACTTCTTCTCCACTGATTATAAAGGGAGTCCAAGTTGAGCTGCTCAGGTGGGAATATCTATAGCCTAGGCACACCAGCATGCAGTGAAACGAATCCTGCACCAGTGCTCCAGAGAGCAGAGCACAAATTAGAGGAATGCCTTTATAGGGCACACACAGGTGCTTTGCTCTGCAGCCCAGGCTGATGTGGTGCTGGACAGAGCAGTGTGCTGCCCGTCAGAACAAACAGGAGAGGGCAAAGTTGCTCTCGTTCATGCGTGGCACTGACCTGGGAGAGAAGGGAGACCAGCAAGGATCTAGAGACAAGCAACGATGTGATGAAACTCCAGTGCCCTCTTCCTTACAAGCAAGTCCTCTCAAATCTGAGCAGCTCTGTACATTAACTGCCGGGGCATTCACAAAGCTTTCTGATGAACAGCCACAGGCTGCACAGTTACCATTAGATCTGGGCACTGCACTGGCCACAGACTAGATCAATACTCAAGAGCAATCCAGGATACGACAGAACCAGGTAGACTCTGGGATTGCCCTGAGGACCGTATGTGCCCAGGGAATTCACTGGTCATCGTTGGTACCTGGGGAGCACTGCCATGCTCAGGGCTGCAGAGGTCGGTCTTTGCAGGTGTGGAAAAGATGTGAAGAGCAGGAGATGCTCTGGTGAATGCCAGTGATCAGATGCGACACATCACTTTTCTCTTGGCATTTGCCTAGACTAATTGCTCTTGAGCTAATGCCACCAGTGTCCTCAATTCCAAACATCTATGGGTAGGCAAAGGAAACTGCTGGATGTTGCTTACTAACTTTGTTCATAGTTCAGGCCTTCCTTGTCTTGGTGAAGGGCAGGCAGGAGGAGAAACTCTCTGTATTTCCTCCCCCCTCCCCCCCCTTCTGTATTTTGTAATAATAGGGGATTTATTATGTACAAATATCCACTGGCATTCAATAAGGCATTAATAAGATTTGTGCATTTCAGCCTCATCTTCCTTATCAGGCAGTCTGTGAACTACATAGATCATGGTTCTTTAATTTCTCTTCATGCTTCCAATCCTTTAATCCAGGTTCAGCCTAGTCATCCCTTTATTTTTTTAGCTCTAGACTGTAGGAAGGGAATTATATGGCAGCACTCGACCTGAACAAAGTACTCTAAAGGGAGTCAAAGCTGTATATTGTACAGTGTAATTACAGAACAAATTCCTTTGCCTGGTGTTCTGCTTTCTATTTCTGCCTTTCAGCCTCCAATTTATATTCTAATTGCTTCTTCTCATTGTGTAGCTGCTTTATGGAGCTATAATCTCTCCTTATTACCTTCTAGCCTCCAGGCTCTGAATGACTCAAGAGCCAGTATGTCCCTGCTTTTGTTCCTTGAGACCAGCAACATGTTTCCCATCTTTGGTCACTTGTGAGAAGGGCTCAGTGGATCATCACGTTTAGTTGGAAGAGATCATCCCTCTGCATCAGACATGATAAGCCAAACTAGACTTCTGAACACATTAACTGAGGGAGTATTTGACCCATATGGGCTTCTTGTATCTCTGCATCCCCATAACATAACATTCCTTGAGACAGGCATATGGACTGGTATAAACTGCTACTATGCCAGTGGCCCTGGTACGTGGATCCTGTGCCACCACTTCTGCTGACAGCTGCAAGGTCTCTGCACTCCCAGACTTATGAGATGTTGTGCTCTTTCTTGGATATGGAAATCCCCAAACTCCGAGAGGCTAAATAGCAACAATCTGCGACCAGAGTAACTGCAAGCCCTGTGTAATCTCTGCTGTTGATCTGCTTAAGTACAATATCCAGAACTGAACACCCACCAAAGCTGTCTGTAGCTTTCACACCTCTTCACTTTGTTTTGCCCTCCCACATGTAGCAAATACCATGCCGCTTGCCCCCAGCTGCACAGATCTGGAGGAAAGGCTGCTGTTCTCTGCAGGATTGGCAAGCACCATGCACAGAGATGCCACAGCAGGGGATGGCTGCTTTCACAGGGGAAGCCTCAGTGACGCCTGGAGAAAGCACTTAGACATGGACAAGCTTGCTATCACTGTACCAGCGAGACATTCAGGGGGAAGCAGGCAAGCAGAAGACAGTGACTTTAGAGAGAAAATACAGAGTTTAACAGGAGTAATCCTGAGTTGGGGACAGAGGATTTACCCTTTAATATTAATCTCTGCTGACATTACGTAAGTCAGATCAGTTACCTGCTCCCTCCAGCCCTGTTCTGTGTCCAAAATAACTCAGGTGAACTCAGAGGCCATGGGTCATTTGTAAAGAAGGAAGAAGCTGAAGACAGCACTAGCTTAGCATTTTCAACAGCTCACACTTTGCCAGTAAATTGCCGTTCTCCCCTTTGATACCTTAACCTTGGTCCCTTCCTTTGCAGCTCCTCAGTGTCACTAGTGCTGCATTTCAGTACCAGAGACCGGAACAAGGAACAGGATGGTCAGGATGCAGCTTGGAGGCAAGCAGAAATTGCCACTGACAAACGGTAAGAACAGACCCCAACACCATGAACTGATGGCAGCCTCTGCCCTGAGCGGAGCTTCACCACTCCTCGGTGTAACATGAAGTCCAAATACTCCGCATTAACCAGCTTACACTCTAACAGAAAATAACATGCACAAAGCTCATACCTTTTAAGAAATCACCCTAAATGTCTATTTGTAAGATCATGAAGATGATAAATGAAGTAGCTCCTGAACAACACACAAAGTGTGCGCTAAGATTTGCTAATGAGAACTGAACTGGAACCTAGGAACTGTATGGATGAAGAACTCACGAGACATTATTAAAATCAGGACTAAAACTAAAACACAGAACAAGAAAATAACTTTGATTAGAATTATTGTTACAGAATGGAAAATATGCTTTTCCTCAAGCCACTTGTCCTTCTGTGCCACCCTACTCAGGGCTTACCTGTAAAGTGAGGGTAGATGCAAGCACATCTCAACAGAGTATCTGTCTATCAGAGAACACAGGTCTGTCAAAGGTGAATTAATTCATAAACCTGTGTTAATTCACTTGAATTTTCATTCAAGAGGAAAAAATAAGAAAAAAAAATTCTGCCTATATATATATATAAAAAAAATCCTGTTTCTACACTTTTGAATATTCTGAATGCTGTCTTTGAAACAGCTTTGGCTTTGAAATTTTACGTCTCATATGTACTGAGATAGAAAAGAAAAAAGTGGCTTAGAAACAAAGAAGTGGTACTATTCCTCAGAACTTTCTTTTGAAGAGAGCAGAGAAGGAAATGAACATAACTGCTGAAATAACAAATTCTTCCTTGGAGAACACATTTCAGTCCTCTGCAGAACTCCAGGAGACACAAGCACAGAAAAAGACTTGTGTGGGCAAAGGCTCTGCTGCCCTGAAAGGATTTTTGCTTTGTTTGCTTCAATGAGAGCTACACTTTTTGCAGGAGGGATTTCATCTGCTGTAGGAGTAACCCATTAATGCTTACGCAAAGAGCATTCCCTAGATACCTTTAGATAAAGAGAATGAGTAGCTCGATGTGCTCTGTGCTAGCTCGGCACGTTTCCTCTCTTCCTAAGGAAAGTGGTAGTATTTATGATACACCGTGAGCCTTACATTGTTGCAGCCACTGCTATGTGCTCCAGCCTTTAAGTATCTTTTTTGCTGCAGGTGAAATTACTGGGGCTTTGGAAACCGTGAGCACAGAAAGCTCTATTGACACACAACGGGGTCAACATCAGGCATCAGCGCAGAATTTAATTCTCCGCTTCAAGCGAGTCGAAGTGCCCAGCTTACCTGCATGGGACTGCATGTGCTCCAGGAGATTGTTATAAAACTGGAACTGGATTCCACAAGCTCCACAGGTGTAAGGCTCTGTTTGGGAGAAATCAGTTCAGAAGAATTATACAGAGTATGCAGGGAAGCAGCACACGTGCATACTTCAGTTTGTACAGTAGCGGGGCAGTGCCTCAGGGTGCGGTCCTCGTCACCTCAGCCCACGTGTGCACATCCCAGCAGCTCCTCAGAACCGAAGCTGCGGGGCTCAGGCTGTGATTTGGGAAAGCACCAGGGCACGTCACTGCTTTCTGGGCTGGGGTTGGGCATTTTTTCACATGCTTCACTTTACTGCCACGAGAAGGCCCAGGATGGCAGAGGGACAGCTCGTGCACTAAAGCGAAGCGCCTGCCGTTGTGTGTTTAGGGGAGGATCTCAGTGAAGCTGCACAAAGATTTGAGAGGCTACACACTGACCAGGGTTTACTAGCTCATGCCTGCTGAAGGCTTTTTAAAGCATATCCTTGCTCTTTTTAAGCCTGAAAGCAAAGCACGGTGAATTAATTTTACATCCAGTTCTGTCAAATTCCAGTCTCTGCTGCCTTTCCTGAGTAAGACAAGGAGCATCAGGTTTTGAAAAATCCTGTTGCTCAGAAGTTGGGGCATGGAGAAGTGCCATGGGGGAATTCAGCTTCATTTTTTTTGTGGCTGTCAACAAGTGCAGCAAGACTGGGGAATGGTGAGTGCCACTGGGCTCAGTGGCAACAAGTCGCCAGGGTAAGCAGAGGTGGAGGGGAAGAAGCACAGAAATCAGAGCTGTGCCAGAAGGCTGAGAGCAGGGCAGGAGAGCCATGTTGCCAGAGTAATATGGATGAGCTGGAGTCAGGAAAGAGCTGGGTGTGAAGCTCGCTCATGAGCTGAAAGATACTTCTAGTTCTGTTCTAACAAGAATGTTGAAAGTGCATTTTTTCCACTGAATTAACCTAATAACAAATGTTTGCAGTTGCTCGTTTAAACAGTATTAGTTGAGTGCATTAGTTGACAGATGTAGTATCAAACTACAGTGGCTGAAAAACGTTGCAGTTTGCTTCTATACCTCCAGACATATGAGCATACTGCTGCCACTTAAGCTGTGGCATTTTGTTTCACAACAGCAGAATGGACAAAGGCAAGCATCTGGTATACAAGCAGCTTTACATACAAATGCCTGGCACACACACACACATCAAGATCTATTGCTACAATACACCAGAAATGTATCTATGTTTGAAATGAAAAACATATTCTGTATCAATGAACAAGTAAAAGCACCAGCATCCAGGATGGAAGAACCAAAATACAGGAAAGCACAAGCCTGACTTGGCTATAATCTCTAAGAAGTCTATCTCAGGTGGCAAAACCCAGAATTCATCAGATGACTACAGGAAGCTGTGAGGAAAAACATAAAAGAGAACATGAGTGGTTTGTATAAGCTACACTTATATGCCGTAAGGTTAAACACCCTGCTGTGCCTTTCCCACAGAACCTACAGCCCTCTGAAATGATGAAGCCAGCTCCATCTGGAGGAGCTGTGCTCAGTGTTTTATTTGACTTAATGTATTTTCTTGTGAAGCTATTCCTGTGTTTTGCTGTAGTGAGTAAGTTTAGAAATACTATACTTAAGTAACTGTGCTTGTGAAAAAAAGCAAAGACTTTGGCAGCTGAGTGACACCCTTAGGAATTTCAGGCCTTGGGGGATTAACGTGGACGGGCTGTTTCTGTTGAAATCATCAGTAGTGAAATTGTCAGTTGTGGTAAAATGCCACAAAAGGTACAATGCAATCTAATTGTTTACATTTCGTTTGTAACTATCAGAGAGGAAAAGACCCCACATGGGTGAAACCATCACTCTTAGATACCTATTTCAATGCCAGATGACTTGTGGCACAGACACACCTATTTGCTGCTTATGGAGCCTAAACTGCTGAGATGGAAATGTCTCAAACTAAGTGGGTTGATTCTCCCTTCAAGTGCAGAATTGACATTTGACTAATCTAATGAAAAAACTTACACTTCAAAGAGCCTGCTGAATGTTGCTGACAGGTTCCTGGCAGGGTCAGAAAGCTGCAGTGCTGCAGCCAGGGCAGCTTACAAAGCTACCACCTCTTTGCCCCATTGCTTTGCTGGAGCCCCTTTCCCTACAACAGAGTTGGAAGAACAGAACATGCTGTACACCTCAGGTGATTCAGAAAGTCTTGGAATTCAGAGATTTCCTGGGACACTTTCAGGTCTCCATGTGCCATTTAAACATAAGCAGGCACATGTGTTCCCTTCCGCAATCTCTGCCTGTAGTAACCTCTGCCAGAGAAAGCAGTGGTGAAGGAATCCATCCTTTGCTCTTCTCTGCTCCCATACAAATACACAAACTCCACAGTTTTCCTAGAAGCAGGTTTCCAAGTAGCCACCAGAACAACTCCTCCCCTAAGCTCAGTTACAGGGCACCTCACTGGGAAGCAAATCACTCACATTCAGCACTCTCCAAGCAGCACATTTCTCACATTCGTTTTTCTCTTTTGTTTCACTATATGCTCTTATTTCTTCTCAGCTTATTGTGTCTCACTGAGCTGTTATCTTCCTCTTGTTATATTCTTGGTTATTTTATCACCATAAACCTGTGTTGTCTTTCTTCTAGCTCTCCCCTTGACTGACTCCCCTTCACTCCTGACCTGTCTTTTCCGGGCCCTCTCCATCTCCATCTGTCAGTCACCATCAAGGTCTCCACAGTTCTTCATCTCAAGCTCCTCCTTCTGCCACTACAACATGCAGTGTGCTCAGTACACTCAGTGACTCTGAAAGGTCTCTCATTTGTGATTCTTCTCAGAAAAATCCTTTTGTTTTTCATCTCATTTCCAAAAGCCTCCCTTTCTGTTTTACTACAGAAATGTCCACCACTGGAAACAAAACCACGTCTACTTTCAAAAACTAATTCTGCATTCTGAAAATGCCAAAACATTTTCTAAACACTTTTGAGACAAGGAGTCACAGAAGTCTACAGTTTGCCAAAACGAAAATGAGTTAAATTAAAACTAGGGATAAAATTTAAACTCATCCAACAATTCAAAAGTCTTTTCTGGGGAGAATGGAAGGCATGCTTGGGAGGATATGCAGAATCCCTGTGGGAATGAACAAACTCACTTTATTTCTCAGGGTTTTCCCAAACCTCATATGTCTGAGATTTCAACTTCTAAGCCCCTTATGCTCCACAGTGCAAAGAGCTGAGAACAGTCAGGCTGACTGGAAGGAGGAGGGTGGCATGTGTCAGTGCTAGAAGAGGAAGAGGTATCTGGAAGGTGGAGAGAAGAAAGAGTACCTGAAACCAGGCAAAAGCCACCACTGGAAAAGAACTGCTCATCTGGGCTGGTATGCACCATGAGTAAATCCCTTCTCCCTTTTGATTTCTGCTGGCAAAGGTAGAGTTAACTGTAAAAGTTGTCAAAACCACTCTGAACACCCCTGTGAGCCACACTTGTGTCCCCTTCTTCCTGGGAGCACAGCCTCCCTCTGCACCACTGCAGTACCTCTGCTTTTCCTTCCCCAGGGGCAATTTCAGCTCTCCTCTTCCCTGCCCAGACTGAGGTTTACAGCATCCAGAGGGGATCTGTTCTCATCGAGTGGTCTCAATTCAGCAAGGGGCTCACAGGTAACGAACCTCTCCTTTCCCTCTCAGCTTTGCTGGTGGCAGTACAAGGGAAGCTGGGACCCATCTGTGCTGTCCACATGAACCCTGAGAACACCTGTGCTCCCCTACAGCTCCTATTGTTTTGGGTGGCCAAGACAGGCCATACATATACAAGAAAAGCAGGAAGAGCAGCTGTTCAGTCAGCTCAGAAATGGCTCAGACTTACAACCTCCAGCAGGACTGCCTAGACAGCCTGTCCCATGATTCTGGAAACCTTCTCCCTCACCTCCTCAAACCCTTAATGGCTTCTCAGGAACCAATCCCTCTCGCTGTTCCACATCTGAAAGGGATGGAAGTTGTGGCAGGAGCAACAGTATCCCCTCTGATGAGAAAAAAACAGCTGTTTACCCCACATGCTCAAACTGGCTCCTGGCTCTCACTTAGGGCCATGGGCCTCTTAGCAATGCCAGGTGCTGTGAGCATCCTACCTCTGTTCCCTTAGCGTGGGTTGGGGAGCAGGGTGCTCTGCTTTCTCTAAGCTTCCTCTACTTGCATTCCCTTGGGCAGATGCTAAACACGTGCTGGTGCCAGCTGGTCTCTTGCTGTGTACTTGGCTTGCTAAGGCTGCAGGTTGGGACTCCAGTTCACACCTGTAACCACAGCTCCTGGAGCCCTGAGCCCTCCTGGGCTGGTACAGGACGTGGGCTACATCATCCCAACACCCCATCTATTCCCAGCGGGCACCCAGGGCTGTCGCACTCACACAACCTTCCTTTACACTGGTACCTCAAGGAAGTGTAGGATAAATTCACCAGTCTGCATGAGAAACTTTCCCTTCCTCTCCTTGTCTCAACAGCTCACTCTTAGTAACTGCTGCTCAGCCTAAAGCAGCTGGGTGATTGGGAGGGTGGGTGTGAAAATTGCCCAAAGCTCACCTTACACAGCCATGGAAGGTGGAAGGAGACAGGCAGAGAGTTCACCAAGGCTGGCTTCAGAGCACTCCCTCTTTACAGGCTGAAATCCTGCGCGCTTTGGTTGCTCTTGCTTTGTTGGCCAGGCTGTGATCCAGGCACAACGTACTGCAGTGTGTGTGCAGCAGGCTGTGTCCTTGCTACTACAGACTGCCACTAGTGCATCCTACAGGAACTTCATGTTAGCAAATAAGCCATTAAAATCCCGCAACGCTCAACTCTAAACCTGGAGTGCAGGATTCTCACACATCACTGAATAGCTCAGAAGATGAAATGCCAGGCTATAGCTCCTCTACCCACCTCTGGAAAGCAAGCTCTTCACACAGCCAAGACCAGAGCTGTGAAGCTGGGGCAGCAGAGATGCTGCATCTTCTGCAGACCTTGGGATACAACTTGAACTCTCCCATGGGTTCGTGTTCAGCCATGGCTATGACGCATTTTCCTGCAGAAGTTCAAGAGCCTGTGCAGCAGCAGGGAAAGGGCTCTTGCCTGACCCCCAACACGTGCTGCTGGGCCAGGAGGGCATCTATTCTCCATGTTCTGCCTCTTCTCACACACAGCTGAGCTGCATGCATGAGGCTTTGCGGCAGAAGGGGTGGAAACAGGCTCCAAGTCTTCACAAAAAGACAAGAAATCATGAATTGAACCTTCAGAGAGCCCCACTGTCTTTCAGGCTCTCTGTTGTTGCTGCATGTTTAGAAGATTTCTGCAAGCCTGTAGCCCAAATTTGGCAGTGGAAAGTCTGTGTATGAAATGGCAAATGTTCTGTGGGCCAGACCTGTCCACACAGCACCGGAGAAGAAGGGGAAAGGGCACAACGCTGAGTACGGCGGGTGAGGCTGCACAGTACCTACGCTGCTCCCTTGCTATCTGTCCACCCACCATCTTCTCCCATCTCCCTCCTCTGGTCCCTCCTTCTTCACTGGCTGTCCCCTTCCACTTAGAGCTTGTGGCACAGATCCAGCAGGTTTTTCTCTTGAGCCGTGCTAGCTGTCACTGGGTTATCTGCTCCTTCCACTGCCTGTTATGCAGAGGAGCAGACCCCAGGGCTTGGAGATGGCCACCTCCGAAGTGACAGTGGGATCGCACTGTGCTGAGCCAGGATCCTGACTCTGTATAGATCTTCTGAGGCAAAATACTTGAAAATTTGGAAGGAGGAGGAAATCACTCTGAAAATGTCCTGTCTTCCAGCAGAAAAGGGCTACTCTACAGCCAACTGATCTCAGCGGAGTCTGACTCTCATTCCCAAGTTTTCCCACACTGTAGAGCGGTTACATAGTGGGGAGCACAAGAAAATCCACTGCAAGCAAACAGTGCCATTGGAACTGCAAACACCCATAACAGCTTCTTGAAAGTTGTTTAAAACTCAAGCATTGCAGCACCCCTAAGTAACAGCATTTAATTTTACTATCAAGCACCAAAGACCTTTTCTCCCCCAAAAGAAGAGACATTTGTCTGTGGTGCACTGGGTGTTGGCTGCTGAGCACAAAGCACTCCTTCTCCCCAGGGCATTCTTCCCCAGAAAAAACAACCTCCTTTGTGAGCCAGGTCCCTCTCCGCTCTGAAAAAGACATGCAATCACATCACCCTTACTCTCTGTCCAGGTACTCTCTCAGAACCCCTTTACAGAAATCTAAAGCACCAGCAGCTGCTGAAGTCTCTTCAGTCTCTTGAGCCACAGAGAACTAACACAGTTGGTTGCACAATTTAAAACATCTTTCTACAGGGCTATTATTAGACACTTTTATTAGTGCTTTATGTATACCCAGTGAACAAGGCTCCAGAATAAGACAGCAGGCTGTATAAGCCAAGACAGAAAAAACCCAGCATTTGTGCTTAGGTTAAATAAATCACTCTAATTCCCATGTTAACTCTCATTGCCACATCTAAGCCAGAGAAAATAGCAGAGCCTGGTTTGAGGCCAGGAGTGAACATGAGTTGAGAGCTTTTAACAGAAAGTTTCAACAGAAAACGCCCTGAGCTGCTTGTGTATGAGTGAAACCCAGCAGCCAGCTCAACGACTGATGGCAGCACAGGGAGCAGACCCCCAGGCAGCTCTCCCCTCAACAGAGAAGACCCACATTTCAACACTTCTGTCCACACTTTGATGAAAAACAAATGCAGAAGAACTGTAAGGGAAATGTCTCAGTGTTTTTGCTCAATGTTTCTATTGGCTTTAATTAACAGTTTAACTAGATCTTCCTGTACCTTTGACATAAACCAATGACAGAATACATTAGAACCAGCAACAGTCTCCTAGAAAAATGCTATCACATACTAAAGTAAGGGGAAGTTTCTTGAAAACAGAAATTTCTGTTGCTTCCACCCCTCTCAGACAACAAAAGAGGTGCAATGTAAAAAGATGCTATGAAGCATGCTTTAAAAGGGGGAGTCCTGAATGCATTGTGGTTGTTAAAATTTGTTGGCACTAATTTGATTTCTCTTCTAGCGTGAACACTCATGTTCTGAATAAAGCTCTCACTTCTTTCTCATATTTGTAAGTGGAGAAAGAACAAGCATCCTCTGCCACTGCAGTCATGCTCAGGGTGCAGCACTCAGCAATGTCCTAGATTACGAGGTTGGCGCAGACAGTATCACCCTAAGATCCAGACACAAGCTAAGCAGTCACCAAACACACTGTAAGACAAAGGAAGATCTGCCTATTGAAAGCATCAAGGGCACGGGGCAGAATCTCAAGCAGAGCCCACCTGCATCCACCCATCCCAAACCTGCTCTCTCTCTCCCCTGCTGCTTGCTCACCACCATGCCCGGGGCTCCCATTTCTCATCTGTGCTCTCAAGCCAAAGCAAATTGTCTCTGCAAAGGTGTTTACTGAGCTGAGCCATGAAGCCTAGTTTTCCTGTGCGTAAGTGTAACTTAAACATGGGTTAATATGCAGTCTTCAAACCCTGGTCTCTCAGAACATGTATTGGCATATTTCATAAAAATTAACTCCCAGAAGGCCATGAATCTAACTGGTCTAGCAGCCACATACTGCACAGGAACACCCTGAAGGATTTCTGCTGCATTTACTTCTGAAACCAGAGCCACAGAAGTGAGGCATTTTGTTCTTTGACACCCGGACTCATAATAAAAAAACATTAATTAATGAAAAATGCTAAGAGTGCAGGCCAGCACGGCTGCAGGGTGGAAGTCCCCGCCTTTGTGCACCACAGACATCCATCACACTTACTTTGTAAAAGCGGGAAAGGATTTGAAATCAGGGGACTTGCGGTTTCTGCAAAAAAGAAAGAGATTTAAATATTGAGACTGGCAGAGACCTCGCTGCATGCTACACAGCTCTGCCTATCTGGTCACTGATCCTTATCCTTACTCTGCACTGTGGCAGGATGAGGGTCTCCATTTACTGCAAATTATGACATGATCAGCTGTGAATTTTCTGTCTCAGTGTCTTGATGAGTATCTTATGGCTGGGGATCTGTGTCCTTCCTTCCCATTTTGAAATGTCCAGAGATTTTAACACACACCCTATGCTACAGTAATGGGAACAGTCAAGTGGGGATGGCCAGCAGAAGAAAAGCTAAGGGGGCAAGAAACCCTTTACAAATGGCTTTTTTGGAGGGGCCTGAGATGCAAATTCCCAGATTCACTGTGCAGCTTCCTCAAACTGAAGCTGGGGAAGAAAAACAGGGTGTTTTAGCCTCACTGGATGGTATGCCAAAGGAGTTTCTACACAGCGCACATTACTTCAGGCTGTGAATACACATTTTCTGTTGAGCACACCTTGCAGATTGGCTCTCTTTAAGGTGTGACTGAAAGGAACGGAAACCCTGCATGCTCAACGAGCCCTTGGTCAACCCAGGGCCATCTGCATCTACTCTCGCAGTGCACGGGGGCAGAAGCAGTGTTTCTCACCACCTCAGGCCCTGTGCAGTTTCCTATAGTTTCCAGGTGAGGTCCTTTAGTGTCAAATCCCTCCAGAGAGGTAAAAACCATTAGTGTTAAATATTCAGTCACCGATTCAGTGCATTTACAGAATGGCCCCAGGCCCAAAGTTATGAATTGATGCATCGATGTATGAGGCTCAGGGCTGACAGACTTGGGACTGGTTTGCTTGGAAGGAAAACTTAACTCATTAACCATATAGGTCAAGCACAGTGAGCCTTCATGCTAAGTATTTCAACATGATGAGGACCTGAGCTGTTGAAGAGGGCTTCAGCTGGCAGGGCCAGCCAGTAAGGAATGAAGGCATGGATGATGCTTGGCAAAGGCGTGACTAGACAGTGCTATGGAAGGGATATGCATGGAAGGCACCAGCTGGATACAGAACACTGCTGACTGCTTAACACCCAATACGTGTTAATTACCCAACCTTGCACTAAGAGTGCTAGTTGCAGCTGATCCAGTCTGTATCTGGAGGAAGATTTTCACTGAAACAGGGTCCTACCTGGTCCTGCCGAGCAGCTGAACAGGGCAGGCTCCTCTAGGTACCACTGTTTCACTATTTGTGCTCTCTGCCTCTGCTTTGGGAACCACTATGCTTAATCAGTGAACACAAGGATGCTCACTGGACCATCCCATGGCTTCAGGCTTTAAAGGGCTCTTTCAGCACACCAGAGGCAAGTAAGCTTTTGAGGGTTAACACCCAACACTCTACCATCCCCCTCGAATTGAACTTGATCTGGAAGAGGTACAGAGCAGTGGTGTACACCACTTCATACACCACAGTGAATTCTCAACGTACCCTTTGGCTGCTTTCAAGACAGAAGTGCTAAAGTAGTCTCCTCAATTATGCTTGACTTCCTATACATGTGAAAACCATTGTCAGTCTGCAATATGAGTCCAGGCCACTTGCTAAAAATTGCTACTATGGTATTTTAAGTGAAGAAAGACTGTTGGGATTTTTCTGGTCTTTATATTATGAGCCATTTTGTTATCCATGCACTGTAATGTCCCTGCCTCAGCACAGTTCCACTAAAGCCACCTACTCTGAGAATAGTCACAGAAGAGTCAGTTTGAATGTTCAATGATAATTTGGCTTGCTCTGGGGATTTGATAATCTTTCACTCTGTAGATTCTCCAGACAGAAATTAAACAGGAGGTCACCAGGAAACTGTTTTTTCTGCCCAGACATTGCTCTATCAGTGACTCTTTTTGCCAGATACTGTCCAGCCCCAGCCCAGTCCAGTATCTGTGCTTGAAGACTGCAATCCACAGCTCATATCGCTGGTCTGTGCCCAATTTTCCTGACTGCTCACACTCTTGCTTCAATGTCTTTCATACATATTGCCCCAATGTCCTTCCTAGTTACCCAGGGCTCTTGAGCAACTGGCAGAATATCACTCACAAAGACCTGCTGCTAAGTGGCTTTTTTAACCCAGGTATCTTTCTTCCTGTCTACAAGTTGCCTGTTCAATATGACAAGTCTGGAACAACTTAAACAAATGTGGCACCAGAAGTAAACAGTTAATTCCCAGAAACCTCAATTTCATGCAAATGGCCAGTGGACACAGAAACTCCTATTTATTTTTGTGTTACTCTTATTCTAATGGTGAGAACTGCACTCAGATGGTAATCCTTCATCTGGGCACATAATTTTTAGGCTGCTTTGGAAAACGCAGCCTATGCATGTGCAGTTGTGTTGCCCTGTGATGGGCATTGCCTGTGCTCTGCACAGGTTAGTTGCGACAACGTGGGAGATCACATAACAACTCCTCCATCTTTTCCTCACTCCTCAAACTTGGTCACCTGGACCTCCCAACTCAATGGAAAGGCAGCAATAGCAGGCTTGTCCTGTTCTCAAACCAAACAACAGATGAGAAAGAGATTTACCAAGAGATGAACCACTTGAATGGGATTTGTATTTTGTGCTTTAGTTCAGCTGACAAAACCTGTAAGACAGTTGGGTGCATCCCCGGAGGTAGAGGCGTAGGGGACTGGCTGTGCTAACATCAGACTGTAATCAATAATCAAGAATTATTGTGCCCCAAGCATTAAAGCCACACTCACCCACCAAAAATCCTAGCTTAGAAGTCATGTCTTCCCGGAAGAAATCTAACCAGATAAGCTGTATGATCACAACTACAGAGAAACTGCAGAAGAGGATGTATGGCCAACGACAGAGAAGGAAGATCCCAGTGTTTGCAACACACCTAACTGCCTCCTCCCATATGTGCACCATGACCACCTGCATTTTCAGTGCAAACAGCTCTTTTGGACACAAGTTTGGCAGTAATCACTGCTAAGACTCTTATTAGCCTGGCCTTCCATTCAGGTGCACTAGGGAACTTGGCATTGTAAGGGCTACTGTTACAGCAAGAGGATTCGCACATGGGACTCAACTGGACATCACGTCTGCTCCCATCACCACCAAACAAAGCTTCAGAAGAGGTTTAAATCATGAGTTTAATGCTGATTTGCACTCTGCCTTTTTTTTTGCTGCTTTCCATAAAACTAAAGGTTACTTCTCCTCAGTTGCTAAGCGAGAAAGACATACTACCTATTTCTGTTTCAGAGACTACCCTGTTTAACACATGCTAAAAATACTGGGTTTATGTGGCAAGTGGTGAATGAGACATTTCTAATTATCCTGCTTGAAATAGTTCCATGCTACAAGTGGATGGGAATTAGGAACGATAATCTATTGTAGGATGCTGCTTATGTACATTTTCACTAGCTAAATATAACTCTTAAGGGTGTTGCACACATAGAAAAGTGCAGCATTGAAAAATGTTTTGCACTTAGAACTGATTCACTAAAAAAAAAAAAAATAGAGCATGTAACATTTCTGAAAATTTCACTAACTGCATGTTTAAAATTTGGCCCTATGTCCTTTAAATTTTGAGAACTGGTACTTCTCAGTCTTTTCCAAAAATTTTTTACTTCTAAATTGAAAGGAGGAAACTGTCTTTTTTTAGTCTCAATCTCACTTCATCTTAGCATGAACTGATTCAAAAAAGATTATTTTCCCTGCCTCTCTACCCAGTCTGAAATAAACTCTGCTGGAAAGAAAAGCTTCATTGTGTAAATATGAATGAAAAGCACTGACATTTAAAAAACTGCAAATGCTAGAATTCGCTCCCCTGGAACTTATGACAGTAATAGTTACCTAATGCAGCAGATGAAATTGAGACATATTTATACAGCTTAAATGAGTCTTGAAAGTTAAAAATACTTCCCAATTCCCTACATAATTTTAAATGTTTTCTCTTTCACATTCATAATGTCTAGCAAGTTTAGACATCAACAAATACTGTCAATTTCAGTTAGTTTTTTACTTTTGATGACCCTACTTTAAGGTATCTAAACTAAAGACTTCCCCCCCCCCCCGCGTTGTTTTGGTTTTTTCCTTCTTGAAGTCTCACGATTTCCTTCATCCCTCTTGGCCTACAGGCGGTGCAACTGCAAATTATTTATTTTACTAAGGAGTCATCCATAGCATCCAAAACAGATCAAGGCTGGATTATGCTATAAACACTAAGTTAGAGATGGTCATTGCCCCTGTGGCTTTCTAAAGTCAAGACAAAAAAAAGTGAGACAATAGGAAGATGCAAAAGCTTGGGACAAAACATGTGTGGTTACACACTAAATCACTCCAGGGCCAAGTCTGCAGAGTCCCACTCAAATGCTGCTCCACACACTCCAGCTGTGCATGGTGGAAGAGGAAGGCAGCAAGCCTTCACTACTGAACACAATGTATGTATTTGCCCCTTTCTGGGGCTTTTTCATTTTATGCTCAGGTTGATAATCACTAGCATTTGCAAGAAGAGTATGTCACAAGCTGCCCTTCAAATACTATCTGGCCTCTTGGGAATTTAGTACAGAAGACCACTGCACATGCCAACACTCTGCAAAATGACCACCATCAAAGAGTGTTTTCTTGAAAGCAGCTTTACAGTATCTTAGATAATTAAGAGCTCATGCATCGTAACAAGTCAGTCTTTCAGGATCAGGCCATGTTCTTGTTTTCTAGACCTTGCTTAGTTTATTTTTAAAGCGCTGTGAAACCTCCAGGTTTCATCAAAAAGCAAGTTTAAGGGGCTGTGGAGACTATTTTCTATTAATATAAAGGACAGCCTCCCAGTCATGAGGTGGATGGCAGCTCAACAGTTCTTCTCCATCCACTCCATGGCTCCATCACGCCCTGCTGGGAAACAGACCTTCTGCTGGTAGATGGGACTCAAATATAGCCAGAAAAATGTGATTGCCATGCAGACCAGGAATTGTTTTATGGGCAGCAAGATACCAGGTTACTCAGATAAGGATACCAGGTACCTGCATTTGCTATGACCAGGACTGGGGCTGTGCACAGGGAAAACACATCTGAAATCCAACGTTTTCTGTTCTAATTGTCTTATTCCCACTTAGGACTCCCTACAGCATTGCATCTAAGTCTATTTTAGGTGGCTTTAGTTGCTGACTTTCCTGCTTTGCTTGTCCTCCCCCTCATTCTAGACATGAAGCAGTCTGTGGCACTGCAAGTCAGGCCAGTGACACAGGGAAAGAATATAATTTAGGCTGGGTGGTCTAAAAAAAAACCCACCTGCTTCTCTGATATCATTATAACTGAGCCTGTGACACAAAATTCACATCCACAAAGAGCAAGTGGTACAGGGAATCAATCGTTTATCAAGGCCAAGCCACACAGCTCTCAGGCTGCTCAAGGGAGACTTACATTTACCTCCCAAACCTGGACACTATTCTTTACAGCAGCGGGAGTTTGGTGATGAGAAGCAGATGGGAGTGGGGTGGACAGAACTGTCTGTCCTTCTCTCATTCTCAACCACATTATCACCAGCTGCTTCCCTGCCTGTGTAAAATCTGTTGGCTGAAGCACAGGAAAGGACAAGCCAGCAATGCCAGAATTACTCCTAAGAGTTCACACCACACATGAACACTGAACCACACAGAATTTATCCCACCTACTGAAATACAGCCATTGAAAGAAGGAAAACAGGGAGGTAATGACATGTCATCTCTTCAAAGAGGAAGTTACTGAGTTCTGCTTGGACTATCAAGCATGCAGATGCCTGCGGAGCTTTCCATGGCCTCTCTAATTACCAGTGCCATTCATAATGTGACATGGTGATGCTCACTCAGGCTGCTATCAGTGAGAACATTTAGACTGACTCCTGAGAACATGAAGTAACGAAAGAGAAGAAATGGCTTGGTGCAAGAGCTGGAAAAGAGCACTGGACGGGACACATAGGAAGCAGCACAAAGATGAAGTCAAGGGGGGAAACGGAGCTAGGGAAGAAAAGAGGATGCACAACAGATAAGGGAAGGGAGAAAAGGGAAGAAGTTTATACATCTCCATGCACCAGTCTGGCTTTGAGGAGTGTATCAGCTGCTTAATGCAGAAAAGAACTGCTTCCAACCAGAGCCCAACTCCTCTCAAACCAGTCCTGAGCAGTTCAAGTTCCTCAGGTTTCCTGGCTCAAACAAAAGTTTAGGTGAGCACCCTTGCAACAATCCTGCAACCTGCCAGGCCCTAGACTAAGCCACTAAATTAAACTGACCATACCATGTGGTGCAGACAGAAACACTTCTTACAATGAAATAAGATGAACAGATATGAAACTCACTGCTCAATTTCTAAGAATTTCTGTCTTTGTTTTGTTTTTTACTGTGAGCTTGTACTCATGCGCTTTATATGTTGCAGTTCAGATAGAAACAGATTCAGAAGGATGACTGTGATGTGAGCTGGTACAAGGAGATGGCAGGGAGAATCTGTGAGATGTGTCACAGCAACAATGGGTCAGTATTTAATAGCAGTTCAGACAGAACTAAAGTCTTGGGACTATTCAATACAGTTACCCTTTCTTTGTGTGTGCTTCTCGTCAGTGGTTCCTAGACCCCCCTCCCATGCTACAGGTTCATTTCCTCTTCTGCAAAACTAATAGGAGGTTTGCAGCCGGAAGGTTTTATAATGCAGCTTTCTTGGTTTTAGGAAAAAAGCTGTTTGATATGAAGGAAGATAATTCTGTTCCTCTTCTGTAGGTTATACAGGGCTTAATAGGAATAAGAAAAGGAACAATCTAAGGCTGTTGCCTTCAAAGGGCCCCAGAGGAGTCAGGAATCCAAATGCTATATTGACATTTAAAGACGTGCACTTAAAGTCTTTGAAACCCTTCAAACCACTCATACTACCACAGAAGACAAGACATGAGGAGCAGACCTGCTGAGAGGCAAAAGGCCACTTTCAGAGCAGCAAGTCAGGCTAGTAACTCTTGGCAGTCAGTGTACTACGCTGTTCTGTGTCATGTATAACAGCCTGGCTGGGCTGACTGAAGACAGACTTGGCCAGCCCCTAAGGACTCCTGACTGCTGCTACCCAAGTGGAACAGGACTAAAAAGTACAAGGGCCTGAAACACAGAGACAAGCTCACCTGATGGGTTCTGCTTACACCTCTTTTCTTTAGGTTTTTCTGTCCCCGAATGAACAGCTGTAATTGTGGTGAATGCTTGGATTAGTACAGGATTGTTCCCCAAAACATAACATGCAGTATTTTAGTAACAAACAACTTCTTTCCCATTCACTATCACCCACTCTGATACTGCAGATGGGTTTTCCAACACCATGTCATTCCTTTTCAACATGATTCCAGAAAGCCCCTCATTTGCTTCAGAGGCAGACATAAACCCTTGCAACAACACTGTCTAACCTGCTCCAGGAAGGAAACCCTTCCCTTACCTGTCCATTCCAGTTTTGGTACTCTTGAATGGGGAATGGAGAAAGGTCAGCCTTTTCTGCTGGCATTTTTCTATCTCTACATGAAGATGCCAAAATTGTGTTTCATCTGGTGTGTCTCCTATGCATAAGAGAATGGTGGTGTCCCGCTTGAAGGCAGGGGGATACATTGGCAGGGTAAAATCTTGTAAAGAAAACTCTATAAATGGTGTACCTAATCAAAATTGTCTAGGCCAGTGGTTATGTTTAGTTACTACCACTTAGACTTAAAACTCCAAGGGAGCTCCAAAGTGAAGTAGATTTTAATTCCTTAAAACACACATATTTTGGTCCCACATCTACACATCTGGTACGCTGTGACCTCCATGTAGTGAACTCGCAAACAGCTGGACTCTGATTACAGTGATGTGTAAATAAGCTGCCACATTCAATGTGGCAACACTGTAATATGCAAACTGCTGTTCTATTCATAGTCCTCAAACTACTCTTGCTTGTTGCAAATGGCTTTGCTTCACGAGGACTTCACTGATGCACAGACAAGGAACAAGTTCTGCTTTATCTCCACCCATATTCCCCTTCTCTACACCTTTGCTACCCACTGAAAAACCTATGCTGAAGTATCTGAACCTTGGGAGCAGGATGCCCATATCACCTTTTTTACAGGCTTGGAGTGGCAGGAACCTGGAGAGGAGTAAGAAGAGGTCACTACCCCAGAAGGACTAGCTGCCTGCAAGTTTAAAGAAGGTACCCCAAATATATAATCACAGATCACAGATGAATCCTGCTCTGAAGAAGGACATGGTAAGCAACAGCAGGAAGGAGTGAACACACTTACCACTGGAGTTCTGAGAATTGCTGTTTGTTTCTTCAAAGTTGTTTTGCGCTTTGCCTTCCACTCTCCTGCTGAAAGCGCTTTCTGCTGGGTGGAGAACAAAGCAAGGATGGTGACTGGTCAATAGTGGAGGCAGAACCACACAGACAGGAGGCAAGACAACATGCTCCTGTGCCACATAACTGCATACCCTGAATACAGCAGAAAGGTCAAATACCTCTTTTTGGAGGCAAATGGGCCAGATTCATTGAAGGGATAACAGGTAGATATTTTTCTTGAATGCCTTTTGGCTGAGGTGGCCTGGATTGGCTCTTAGGGAGCCCAGGAACACCAGTCCTGACTGAACCAGAAGGGTCATGGCTTCCTCCCCTGCAAAAAAACCCAACCCTTATCTTACTCTTCCTTAAGGCAATAAGCAGCCCTTAAAGCCTCTGGCACAGATGGTCTGCAGACTGAACTTGGGTCCTCATCACAGCATGTAGAGTGTCACCTACAGAAGCACTACCAGCTCCCCCTGAGCTTTCCAGCAATCTGCATTCCCTCCCTAAATACCATCCCCAAAAATCTGAGTGGAGGACTGACTGGCTGTCCCAGAGCCTGCCCATGATGTCTGGAAAAGCTGTGGTAGATCCTCTGGCCCTCTGTGCTTTCCAACAGTGGCCTCGCTACCGCAACCCTCCCCAAGGCCAAGCAGGCAGGCTCTGCTCCTGCAGCGTGCTGCCAGCCAGTGCTCTTGGCAGTTCACTTGCTTCACACACTTCATCAACAGCACAAGGCAATTTCCCAGTAACTGTCACGACTCCTCCAGTGTGCAGAGGTGGTTCCTGACTCTGGCAGTAGCTGCAGTGTCCTGAAACGTCCCTGTACAGCACAGCTGATGTGTCTCCCATCCTCCTCGTGCTGGTGTCCCTCAGCACAGGTTCAACAGCACAACTAGTATGAGGTCTTCTCTCATCTCAACTAGGTTTTCTGTATCTGAGCCAACGTTTTACTGTAGTGACTCAAGGGATAAACTACAAATAAATAAAATGAAAGGTGAACTGGCCAAGCTGTGTATAGTCTATGCTGTATGGACTGTTCCCATACATGGACTCATTCATGGAGTCCACTGTCACTCAATGGTTTCATCTGAACATGACTTAGGAAGGCTCTACTGGGCTCAGCAGCATGCAAATTGCATAGTGAGGGAGCTGGGGAACAGAAGGCTTTCAGGGGTGTTGAAAACTGGTTATCAGATCATTATTTCATTACATACTGCTGCAGACCACTGGAGTAGTCAGAACTGCTGTCATGACTTCCATAAAGAAGTCCCAGCTCCCTGCAGCCTCACAGCCTCACTGTGCTGAAACGTGTCTCAGACACACGGTCTTTATATGTAATGTGGCTAGAAACGACCTGAACTGTTTGAAGCTCCCAGCCCAGAAATTCTGGTCCAGCCAATCCTTTGTGAACCCTTCCAAGCCCTGAGCAGGCTTCTCAATCTACTACCTTCCTGACTCTTTCTAAAATGCAGGAGAACAGGAGAACTTATGCAGTCAAATCAGTTAAAAAACAGAATCACACAAAACAAGAGGAACTGGAGATGTTACCTAGTCCACCCCCTTTCTGTTCAATAACAGTAATGAGAGGCCTTAAGTATCTAGAAAATCAGATGCCATAGTGGGAAAGAGACCATGATAAAATTATTAGGCCAACCTACCCCACAAGAGACCCTGGTTCAAATCCTGGCTTATGTCACAAGTGAGTTGGAGGTCTCCAAAAACATTTGGAAAAAATTTGTATGGTAGTTTTGTCCTCATACTCTATTATTCCCAACCCCCCCCCCCCCCCCCCCAATGTCTGGCAATAAGAAAAAATTGGTTTAATGCACTGCCTGGGACTTACTGTGCCCTTCCCACAGAGGAGAGGGCAGTTGACACAAGTTGTCTCTCCTCATACCTGAACATTTTGCATGCAAAGCAAAATTATGTGTATAGACAAAGTGCCACTCTACAAAGTGTCTGTGCAAACACTATCATTGGAGTGGTACTCCACCATCTCTGGCACTATCCAGGCCCACGTGAAACGTCTCTAACCGCAGCACTCGGAAGGCATCCCTTCCGGAGACTGTCTTCCTAAAAGGTGTTATGGTCAATGCATTTGTACCAGACATTCAAGAAGCTGCTCAGATTGGATTTGTACAAGACACTGCCTTGAAAGACACCACGGAAGTGATGCCACCAGATTAACAGGGTAGGGTCCCCAGACTAATAACAGTTTCTTAAAGATCAATCCACCAGGCTCAAGCATCATGTGATTCCTTCCTCCATACAAGAAAAGCAAAGCTCAAATGTTTTTACCCAATGTACTGATACACTTTTTGATTAGAGAAGCTGGGGAGAAAAGTGCCTTTACAAAAAACATCTCCCAGTTACTGCTCTGATGAATCTGACCTCTGACCCAGGAAGGCTCCCCATAGTTCCACTTTTGTGAGACGTGAAACTGGAAGAAGTTGTATCAAGTTTAAGTAAATAATGAAAAAGGTTTCTCAGCTTTAACTTGTAACTTGATTGAACAGGACAGAACTCAAATTAGTAATAAAATCATATAAATGTTTAAGAGGTGCAATAACAATATGGAATCCCAGGACTTGTAAGCTGTAAGAAGACAGGTCACTCACTGCAACATCTGGTAGCTGCAGACATGTGTTATCTAACAAAAAGCATCCTTGTTCAGCACCCTGTGTCCTCTCCCACCACAGTCATCTCTGCTATTTGGCATCTGTCCATGCCAGGATTTCAGAGGTGTTTAAACACCAGCTGATTAACCAGCCCTTCTTCTGTATGAGACAGAACATGTATCTATCAATTCCCCAGATTTAAGAGAGTGCTTCCCTGCTGACTGGACATATGAATGCTATGTCTCACATCCTATTTATTAATAGGTTTTTTTCAATGCTCTTTGCTTTCTTTATGGTTTGAAATTGCTTGGAAGGAGGCAACAGGGACTATGGGAGGATCAATCTTAATGCGTCTTCTAACACCTCTGTGATGGTTCTGTACCATTAGTTTTGCTGCTGGAGTCCAGTTCATCTCTTGGTAGTTCCTGTGGGGAGTGGAGCACTGTGAAAACACCTGTACTCCATTTAACTTCCTCAGACACAGGCCTAGCCCTGAAATACTGGCTTGAGGGAAACAAACACTAAATGCCAAACAAAGCTGAAAAGCAAACAAAAATCCCCATACCTGACAAGCTACTATGCCAATCCTTGTCAGGAAGCTCTCCTCAGGTTGTGACACCAGGATTTGAAACAGGGTCTTTTGTACCTCATGATGAGCATGATGCTTAAAAAACCCCAACCTGTCACTGGGAAGAGGTTATAAAGACCTAATGCTGATGTACATTTTTATTTATAACATGCCAAAGGATCTAATCCTCTCAACTGCTTCTGGGAGTAGCTTTTCTGGGACAGTCATGGATGGAGCAGACTGAGTCCAGGAAGGATCAAAAGCCAACCCAGGGCAGGATTGGACACTAAGCAGTTAAGAAAGTTGATGGTAGAAAGGCAATTGGTACCTGTGATGGCCTTGCTTCCTGGGGATCCAGAATTTGGAGCGCGGAACATCTGGGATTGGGATGCCGGTGGGACACCGGAGGGGGTGCGGTGCAGGAGGGTAGAACATCGGTTTATTGAAGCCGGTGTTTTTTTGCTGGATTGGCTCGCCTGTGTCTTCACTGCCACGAAGAGTGGAGATCGAGAGAACTCTGGATATGAACACTCAGAACTAGTGCCTGGACAGTCAGTCAGCTCCCAGACCGTGTGCCTTCTGGGAGGGTTGCTTTCTAACAGCCATGCTCACGAATCCCTTGCATGGGGACCTGCAGTGATTGTGGATCCACTGATCCCATGTAACAAAACTGTTTTCCCTGCTCACCCGAGGGGACAGATTCTTGAAGCTTGTTAGTTCCCTTCCACACCTTTAACTGCCACATGACCAACCCATTCCTCCTCCAGCAGGAATCACCCCATCCATCCAGGAGTACTATTGGCCTGGCTCGGTGTACCTTCACCGCTGTCCTCCACTTCTATATATGTAAGAGTTTGAATTTTGTGAGCAGGTTTCTAATGTGATACTCAGAGCTCTGAATAGGGAGGAGTTGACATCTTTTTTACTTGAGCCTTGCATAAATGCTAGATATCTCCATCTACATTCCTTGTCTCATTAGCCAAATACAAAGGGAAGGGGAATAGAAGGGAATTAGGAGGCAGAGTTCTCATCCTGCAAGTCAGGGAAGCCCTTTGGCCTCCATCTCCAGACAAATTCTGGCGACATGTGGAAAATTTGAGAGTATTACTGGGATATGCTCTTTGAATATATCTACATTTTGGTCTCTGCAATGCACAGTGAGGATCACCAGGAATTTTCAATGCCAAAAGTCGTATGAAAAACCTTCAGGAGAACATCCCTTTGTCTAGGCCACATGAATTATAAAAACAATTAGAAAAATAGAGAAACAACCTAACAACCCCCTTCATTCCTCAGTGGCTTCTTCCACAGAAATGTGGATATGGCTCCTGAAGCCCAAGTCCCACTCCAACCATCTACCATAAAGAATCACTAAGAAACAAGGCTCACATAACCCACAGTCCAAGCTTGTTACCAGTGATTTCCATAGAATTACAGTGATATTTTAGGAGGCCTAAATTTGGATGGGCAATACTAGCACCTGTTCATGCTATACAGTATAATTAAGAAATACTTAACCACATTAAGCAGTTCTCCATCATGGACTGCCAATGGCAGTACAACAGCCTGACTCTGAAACATGTGAGAAGTCACCCAGGCTGGGACTGGATGCTCATTTCCAAACTCCCATGAGACACTGTAGACCTTCAGTGTGAACTGCTCTCATCTTCTGTGCCAGCAGTCAGCAGCACTGGAGAGTGAGGATTCAAAGCAGCTTGCAAAAAGATACTCAAAAAAGACAGTTTTTTCTTTCACTTGATCTGATACACAGATTCAAGATGACATTTCCAGTAAATGTTAGTATACTTCTGCAGGAGATACTGCACTAGGTTTTCTCACAGGCAGGCTTGCTTTTGCTTCCTATACTTCCTTCCAATCTCCATGGATAATCCTCCTCCAGTTGCTGCCAAACTGCCAGCAAAAATGTAGTGAGATATGACAATTTCCTGCTTATGTATCATCTAGTTTCCCATGAGGCCCATTCCCACCAATTGATGCTTTATTCCCTGTCCATACCAAGAGAAGTAGCAATCAGCCAACTATTCAGTGTCAGAAACAAAGAAAGAACATCACTGCAAATCCTCTGCAGTCCAGATACTGCTCTCTGGAGAGCTGAAGAAAAAAAGTCTCAGTGCTATGAAGACGTACAAAACTACTTCTTTTTGCTCCCAACTTAAACAAACAGTATGTCTTCAAATTCAGGCCCTAGAAAGAAGGCTGCTCCATTTGACACTAGACAGAGACAGAGTTTGAGCCAGCAAGGCAAGATAGACCAAAAAATATTAGTTCTAGCAGTCTGGAGGATGCTAATAATTGAAAAATAAGTTTTTGGTTCATCAGATGATGAATTCCCTCCGAAGACTAAGCGACACAGGTAGAGATGATCACATAGCTCCTTTTTTCTGTTCTTGAAAAGTTATCTTCACTGTGAAACTCACTGCCTCAGGCTGATGAAAAGGCCAAGTTAAAGATACTTCCAAAAATGAAAATACTTCCTGAATAGTTACAAAAACCTCTTGCCTCAAAATCTGCAGTTAGACAGCAAGATTGGAGACAGCATTGTGGACAGATGATCCCATTACTGCTGCTATTAAGAAGTTTTTTTAAACTTTCTCAGAAAGCATCTGGGATATGCCCAGTCAAAGCTGACATACTGGAGAAGGGAGGGCAGGAGAGGAGTAATGTAGAGCCCAAGTCTCACTCAGTGACCTCAATCACTTGGTAAACTGAGTGCACTGTGCTACAGCCACAGAGTGGCACATGGTATGCTAAAGAATACAGATGATACAGGTGATACTTAAAAATGGGGGACTCTGCCTTGGCAGCAGGAAAAAGAGCTTAATCCATTGCTGTGCTTGGTCATCATGGCTGTAGACAAGCTCCTAGGGCAATGACATAGCTAGAAAGACCGAGGAACTCTTTAGGTATGCAACCAGGGCACTTTCAAAAGGGATCAGGAAGACAATGTTAGCTCTCAGTTCCTTCACTAGACCCAGTGCTGGTGCATGCCCTGCACAAAGGTGGTTAACAGACCTGAGAATATTCAGATGAAAAGGCAAAAGGATAAATAAAGGACAAGAACAGCATACCTTACAAAAGAAACACCAAGTTACTCTTTTGGCTTAACTGGGAGGTTAGTCACTATGAAGTGACTTGACAGCAGGCTATACAAAGGTCTAGAAAGGACAGGAATTTGGTAACTTAGTCCTCCTTCACCTATCAGACAAAGTTATAAATAGGATCAGTGTTTGAAAGCTACAGCTGGATAATTTTAGTCTTAGTTTAACGAGGGTAATAATTCATTGAAATAATTACCTTAAGAGGTTGCTGTATTTTCTGTCACTCTTAACAGCAAGATTAGATGTCTCTCTAAAACATACATGTGAACAATTAAATCAAGGCAATCCTATAGCATGCGTTACTCTGGTCAGTCTAGAGATCACTGTGGTCCCTCCTGACTTTCCTGTCTTTGCTAAGATCTTCAAGCCCTGTTAATGGCAAGCTGTGGCAGTAAGTAGAAAATCTGGTAGATATTTCAACATGTCTCCTCAAAAGATACATAAAGCCACACACTACCACAATAGAACAGAGATCAGATTATCTCAGTAACTTCGCTTTTGCCAGGTAAAAATTCTGACTAATAATTTGTGTATCACATTTTTTCAGAAAGATCTTGTCAGGACAGGTAAGGAACCATTCAGATGGTTCAGATGGAATTATAGCATCACCTCTGGAGAAAAATCTATCTTTAATGAATATGATGGAAAGTGATTCCTTAACAATGGCCTGAAATTCAATATGCTGAGTGGAAACCTCTGCTATTGGAAACAGGTCTTTCCACAGGAAAAACTCTGCTCAAACCTATCAAATTCTTAATGTGCTTCTTTATCCATACAAACAAATACTGGCAGTGAAGCCTGTTGCTAAGGGACTGTGGGATCAGAGAGTGGGAAAAACATCTGAACTCACAGATTTCACTCACTGAGATGGAGGAAGCAAAGACACACCATCCAACTGCAATCTGGAGCTGTTTTTCTCTTGGTTAGGCGGGACCTGCATGGAAACTAGAGATGCTACCAAAAAGGATCCCTCTCCCTAAGAGAAAACTCCATGATGGCAGCTGCCTTTAAGAAACACTGTGTTTAAACACTTTTGATGAGCAAATTGTATCCAGCATCCTTCATAATGAGAAAAGTAATTGAGCAGAGAGGCTTGATGAACTTCCTTGAGCATCTCAGGTGTCAGTGTGGATGTAGATCTGTCTGCCCCCTACAGAGTGGAGCCAAGTACAATCATGGGGCTGGAAGGGCAGGGTCTGCGACTGCTGGGGCCCATCCCACAGCCCCTGAGAGGCAAGGCAGGACCAGAGATGACAGCCAGCTTCAACCAAGAGTCTAGATAATCAGGAAGTTCAAGGCAATGAGACAGGTCAAGCTGGGAAGTCAATCCACAGGTCAGTGGCAGGATCAGCTCTGGTGAGGATAACCAGGGCCAGACATGTACCAACGATCCTCAAGAAAGTCTACAGTGATGAGACAGGGTTGACATTAAGCTGGGAAGTCAGTCTACAGGTTGTGGTGCAGACCAAGGAGATCCATGACCAGGTATAGGCATGTCTACAACTGAGCTGGAGACCAACATCCTAGCTCAGGCAGGGACCGACAGTCCAGAGCTGAGCTGAAACAGGGAGTCTGAATGTGGGCACAGGCCCTGTGTGAGATAGGTCAGGGCCAGTAAGACCTATTAGTGCACTCAGGGCCCTGACACTGCTTTAGATTTTCATCCTGGAAGCAACAGACATGGATAGCTGTGCAGAATTTAGTGCTTGCACCACATACTTCCATGACCAGGGAGAGTCTGTTGCCTTATATGCAGTTACCAAAAGAAGATGCAGTAAGTGCACACTCCTGGACTTACCAAGCTAAAACCCAATTCTTGGTGACTTTTCTAGCCAGTCCACATCATAAACACACTAGCTTTTCTCTGCACTGTAAATACATCATCTAAGAGCAAAACACAATAGTCCACCCTCCTGCAAATATGGTTAAACCAGTTCCATCCTACAGAGCAGACACAGCCTGGAGGAGGACAGAAAGAAATCTCTGAACCCCTGCACATCTCTGTTCAGAGATATTTCTAAAACTGGGACAATGAATGTGCCCGCAACCTCCTTTTTTTGGAAACAGCCTCTGACACCTTTCTTAAAAAGGGTAAATAGGCTGACAAAACCAGCATAAATGTATTTTAAAAGAGTAATAGCCCAGTTCTAAGCATATGAAAAAGCCTCTACTCAAACTAACAAAAGGCAACTTTTGAAGGAGACCTTTGGCATTAACAATTCCAGGGAACCCCACAGCAGAGCTCTTTTCCAGACAGCAGGTATCCAGCAGCACTGACCAAAAATTATCCAGCAAGGTCCTATTGACTCTGCAGGATACAAGTCTTTGGTTTAGCCCATTTCCAATAAATTTTTATCCATTATCACAGAAAACCAGAAAGACAGGCTCCGGAAGGGAAGCTTGCACTTAAGCAGAGAGACCAAGAAAACTGAATTGGTAATGCTTAAGTGTTTTCCTTACCCGCTCCCACTACAGCTAATTTTTCAGCATTTGCCTTCTAACCAGAAGAACAAGACCTGGGTAAAGAAAGTCTCAGCTTTACTTCTTCTGACTGCAAGGGCCCGAGAAAAGTCAGTTGTGCTGTTCAAAAGTCATGTGTTACAGCTGCCTCACAGGACCTTGGGTTATAGGAAGAGCAGAGTCTGAGCAGTAGAAAGGTGGGAGAATGTACTAGCCAGCCTGGCTTGGTAGCTAATCATGCCCTCTCCTGTATGTTCCTCGGGGCTACTGATTTGTCACTGTAAATCGTAAATCTTACTGCTCAAGGGAACTAGGAGAGAAAAAAAAAGGTTAAAAAAAAAAAAGGAAAAAGAAGAGTTTATAGGGAGGGGATTAAACCTTATGAAAATATTATCCTGATTTGATTTAAGTGTCCTCACAGTTAAAAATATTTGCTGAAAGGACTGGAAACCCATTTGCACATCTCAGTGACTGCTGGTCTAGCCTGCAGCAGAGGCAGCTTCTCTTGCTTTCACAAAGGCTACTGCAGAAACCATGGTGCAAAAACGGCTTCAACCCCAGCATTCAAAATAATGTGCCTCCTCCTCCAAAACTGCTTTCCAGTAGTCAAAAAGTGTGCACCAGAACCCTGCAGCTGCACTCTGCTCAGGGAGAAGGGCAGTGTCTGTGTGGACCATTCCATCTGCAGTCAGACCTACAGGGTCCACCTCAGGCAAATACCTCTCAGAGAAGAACAGTTCTGTTTTTCTTTTGTGCTGGAGAGCCTGGACTAGAACCAGCAGCTGCAGTTTATTACTACAGAGGCTTGGGAGGGTGGAGAGATGTCCAGAGCAATAAATCCCCTTGAAATGGGAAGTACTGGAAAGATAAGAATCTGCTACTGCTAAGCAGATACTCAACGTACAGTCCTTACAGCATACTGCTCCTTAGACATCTGTACCAGGGTGAACTAGAGACACCAAAGCTCTGGTGTCTGGGTTCCCATATATACCAGGAGATTGACCTACTGCTGATCACCACCACTGACTTTTCTGAGGACCCGAATTAAGGTGGAGTTTGGAGGTGCAGGGATGTTTAGGAATAATTGTTATGTTTGCAATCATAAGCACTGGGTTAGTTCCTTCAGGCAGATGGGAAATAATAAGACTAACTTTGGGATGATGGTGGTAGAGGTACTTTATGCCCTACACCTTCTACCACTATCTTGATCCATCTCCATGCTTCAGAGAACCTGCATGCCAGCTGTCAAGAGCTACCAAGCCTTGACCCACCTTCTAAGTGACAGTCTGGTGGACTATGTTTCCAATTTATTTCTACATATGTTTGAAACCAATGCTGCCTTATTATCATAACTTAAAAACTTAACTAAAGCTGAATTTGGTGAGGAAGGAGTGTGCACTCCCTCTGCTGGCTGCGGATGAGCAGCTGAGGAAACCTATGAAGGTTAATGACCTCAGCCCACCCATCCTCATCCTCAGCCAAAATGCTGGCAGCTGGACAAACAGAGCAACCACGATGGCTCACAGCATTAAAATCACAATAAAGCACAGGGTAATGCTATAGAACAAGCATGAAGTTCAGGTGTAAAGAACTTCTCTGCAGATTTTTAAAGCATTCAAAACCAGCATGTAGCAAGAATTTCTCTCAAATATTTTACTAAAATTTTTCACTAAATTACACTTAATTGCTCATGAAAACCTCCCCTTTGTCTGGGGAGTGCAGACTGTAGTGTCCCTCCAGAGTGCAGATCGTAGTGTCATGTAGTATGCTGAGAACTGCCTTTTCCCGATCTCCCTGAAATAAATATTTTATTGCCTGTGATTTAGTAGCAAGCTGCCAAGGTAATTTACATGATTTTGAAAACCAGCTTTAACTCACTGTCTAATAATTTATCAGAAGCTCCTAAGAAAGATGTTTCTTCCCTAGTATGTACATTCACTTATTATTTAGAGGAGTCTAAAACTTTCATGTATCACTTCAGTTAAACAATAAAATAAAATATCAAACTCCCAAGGAACATATGTAGTAGTGCATGGACTTTGGTAAAAGTTCAGTGTCATTACAGACTTAACAGTAACAGTGTCCCTCAGAGAGATTTTCAGCTCAGCTTTACAGTGCCCTGGCCAGCATGTGATCTACATCCTGCCAGACGCCATTCCGCAGGTCCAAGTGGAAGGATCCACAGGAATGACACTCTCTCCTGCAACCCTTGTGTTTAACACCAACCACTGTAAATCACAGTTTGCAATGAAATAGATCTCCAGAAGGATACTCACTAATAGGTGCATGCAGTGCCACATGTTCTTGGTAGGGAGTGTAGTATTTGTACTGCTTGCCACAGAATTCACAGGTGTAATTGCCAGTTTCTGTGAAGATGAAACAAGTACAAAGATCAGAAGGGAGTGCAGTGCCCTCTCACACAATCACGAGCTTTCTGAATTTTTTTATGCAGAAACTGACCAGATGACAAAAACTAGAGCATATTCCTCATGCACTTGGAACTTATCTGCCCTGTAATTCACACCACCTTTTCCCCAACATAGGAAACAGTTAAAGCCAGTGTCTAGAGTGATAGGCTGTGCATAAAAAGGTCTAGAACTAGACAAGCTACAGGAGATTATCCCAAAATTACAGCAAGTAAGCATGCAAACCGAAGGAGAAAATCAATTTCTAAAGTCTATATTACAGATGGCGCAGTTTTGTCTTCTGATTTCGGGCAGTCCATGATGTGCAGACAACAGGAACAGTGAAACTGGGAAACAAGTTGTCAAGTTAAAGTTTTAAATTTTTATATTGGATTGTAGATTTCTCTTGCAGGCAGAGGGGATTTTCTGCAATAACTGTGCTAAATCCTGCTTTGGGGGTATTTGAAATAACAAAGTAGTGTAACTCCACGCTGACACCTCCCTCTCCTACCACTGCTGGGAAGTACAGAACTGACAGCAAGCTGCAAGCCAAAGGAATTTAAAATCTAGGGTTATCAGTTGTTTCCAAAACGGAGAATTCAGGGAAATGCTGTGGCAAAGGCTGATTCTGGTCCTCTCTTTGTTTCACTCTGCTCTGATGAACCTACCACAAAGGCAGTGTGAAGGCAATCACCTGCCAACTCTGTCAATACACCTAAAGACCATCTATAATTGCTGCCAGTTTGCTTTTCTCCTGAACCACTTTCCTATTCTCTTTGCAGAGCTCTTGAGCAGAAAACATCACAAAGCTGCCTTTGTTAGGGCCAGGGCTGTTGGTGTTTGGTGTTCATTTGAACCTAAACATATCTTTCAGCACCCATAAGGTCCCAACACCTCTGCGTAACACAATGCTTCCTGGTTTTCCTAGAGGTCCTCCAGATTTGAAAACTCCGTGCTTTCTTTTTCACATTTGAAATTGTGTAATAACTCATACTTGGGCCAATCTTCTGGAATGGTTCTGGCTCCTCCTCCTTCACTTCATCTGCTGCTATGACAGCCTGGTCATAGGGGTCTGCAAGAGAACAGAGCCAACAAAAGAGCTGACAACACCTTCACGTTTTCCTTCTACAGCTGCATGGGCACTGAATGCTCCTGCATCTGTAATGACATTTAAATCTGTAACAAGATTTCAAGGCAGAAATTATAAACCAAATGACCCCTCTGACTTGTCCCTCCTCCTCAGGTACCCCAGGACTACCCCTGCTTCCAGCCCAGTAACATGCCTTGTAGGTATATAATTCTTTTAAAAAATACAGAGAAAGACTGAACAAACACATTCCAAATCCCGATCCGTATTTTCTGATTTTCTTCCAGTTCATCTCCTATCTAATGATGTTATACTGTCTGAAAATGGGCATGGTAATGCAGTCTGCAAGCAAGTCAGCTAACAAATACTGACCAGGGACCTTCTACCATCTAACAGCACAGCTAGCAACAAATCAGAACCCAACCCATTTTATAAAATAATTTAATTTATGCCTCGAACAATTCACTAAATCACCAAAGACATGAAACACCCACTTCTTTGATTTTCGGAAGCCTGCTCAATTGTATGTACAACAAGAGCCTGGTATCTACTAGGGCTGGGCATCAACCTACTGGCTGTAGATATGTGGGAAGGGAGAGAGGATGCTCCCTCTCCTGCTGCAATCAGTGACAAAACTCGACTCTTACAAGTGTAGAATCAACCTGCTGTGCCTGAACTACTTGAAAAGGTTTGTGAAATAAAGCACAGGAAGGATCTCGGCTTACCTGCCCGGTTTTCTGGGGCCCCTTCCACACTAAAAACTAACACAGAATAGAAGAAGGAGGGGAAGAAACAAAACAGAAATTAAATCCTCTTAAATGGCCTTGTTTTCCTCCTGTATTTCACACACCGCTTCAGCATATTTCAGCCCCACAGAATAAACCAGGCTTTGTGCCCCAGACCCTCCTCTTCCCAGCAGCATCCACATATGAACTATTTAAGCATGCCCAGCCCTAATATACACAGATTCTCAAGGCCTTTGTCCTGACACTAACACAGCCCCATGTGAAGTTCAGCTGCACAGCTGCCTCACACTTGTGATTGCTAAGACACCATCAGGCCCCTGGAGGAACTGAGACAAACAGTGTCATTGCAAGACACAAGTGGAAGCCATTTCCAAAGCCCTCTCATAACCCTAGGCATACCCCTCTGAACCATAGCTATGAAGACACATTTCTGACGGAAGCAGACACAGCCATGTCACAGTGACTTTCAGTCCCAGCAATTTAATTTTGGCTCCCTATGGGAGGAAGGGAACTTGTGGTGGTGCACTGCATGAGAACACTGGCTGTTCTTAGAGCATGTTCAGATGTCCACACATTCCAGTCAAAACCAGCAATTCTTCTGGACACCACATACTGTGAAAAACCACTTGCTTTTCTGAGACACCACAGCCATACAAAATCTTTCCAAGCAGCTTCTCTCTAAAATCCTGCCAGTGCTCCCTCCTTGGCCAAGAGAAGAGCAAAACCAACAGGCTTGTAGCATACACAAGCGAGGGTCTAAGTATCTGTGGGCTCTGCGCTGAGGAGCTTTAGATGCCCAGAAAGCAGGGAGAAAGCCAAAGATATGATGTTGCTGCTTCTATTTCGCCCAATATAGCAAACAGGAACACTGCTTCTGGAGGAGGGTGTCTGCTTCTGTCCGAGTGTCACCAGCTTAGGCCAAATCTACATTCACAGAGGAAAAACTGGCCCATAAGAACCACTGACAACTGCACCTGTTCACTACCATGGTGATTAACAAGGATGAAACAACACCTGTCAACTCTGAAATGTGGTTTCTCACAGAGGAGCACACTGGGAATAATCCTGTGAAGTCAAAAACTAAAAGGCAACTAACTCTTGCCCAGCGAGTAGCCATACTGACAATTTACCTTGAGGGACTCAGCTCTAGGGTATCTATCCTAACCATGAACCTTCATACAGATAAGAAAGACTGCAAGGACTACAGGTCCCATCACAGAGTATTACTTTGATGCACGAAAAGAGAATCAAGCACAACAAACTTCCTCTTGCAGCACCTGTGGACCGGGCCTCCTCTGACAAAGAGCAATCCATGCTGTGCCATGTCCTGTACACGGTGGGCCACACAGTCCTGCAGAACCACGTTTGGCCTTTCCCCAGAATAACACAGAAAAGACTTCTTATTCTAGTTTGGGGGACTTAAATGTCAAAACAGTACTCACCATCCACGGCATGCAGGTCTCTGTGCTCTTGGAAGCAGCTATAATATTTGTATTTTTTCCCACAGATGTCACATGTGTACCTAAAATTGTCTGTAGAAAGAAGAAAACAGGCCACTTCAGAAACTCTGAGGTAGAAGGCAAGCACTGCAGACTCTGCTGCCCAGTCAGACACCCCCATGCAGTTACATTCATCCCACATGCCCTGTCAAATCTCTAAGGCACGCAGACAACCACCGCTTCACCATGTCCCCTGCAGGCCCCATGCTATGTGGCTTGGGGCATATTCTGGTTTGTTATTTCCTATTCAGGCAGCTCCGCTCCCCAGTAGAGCCCCCGTAAGATCTCACAGCAATGAAGACGCAGAGCAGCAGGCCCTGCAGAATCCTCCTTTGGAAGTTCACGGCTATGGCAGGCAAGTGCTGGTCAGGACAGGGACAAAGCGGCAGAACTCAACACTGAGCCAACCTGTGAGCTGTCAGAGGTCAAAGTCTTGGTGTGCCAACTACAACAGGACTGGGTGTGCCTATACGCTCATAGCACACGTGGTTCTCACTGCTGCTGCTCACTGACTACTAACTGCATCTGAGATCGCTGACGGGCACATTAACAGCAAACAACACCAAAGAGAACCAACGGTCCAAAGCAGGCAGGACAGTAAGGTGCTCGATGAGCAGGAGGACTGATGGAGCCTGGTTCTGTCTACGTTTGGGCCCCAGAGAGCGTCCCTTCATCCCAGCAACAACAGACCCCCTTCACCGCAGCTGTGTGGGGAAGACAGACAGATGCCAAAAAGCTCAAGATGCTTCTGAATTCATTTTGGTCTGACTGGCAACAACAATCATCTTTGGATCAGCTGTCACATCCCTGTAGGAGGAAAATGCCACTGGTCAGCTGGCTGGGGTTCCTCCATCTTCTGATGTCTGACATACACCTCGGGGCACAGACGGCCATCCATAAGTAGTCACCCCCCTGCAACTTGCAGCATTATACTTGTCAGCCAGCCACAGTAGCTGAGGGGTTGGGTGCTACTAGCCCACTGCAAACAAGGTCCAACACATCAGCTCGTGCCACAAACTAACGTGTTCTATGTCAGCTACCGTGGCTCCACAGATGAGCGGCCGTTCAGGAAGCTCCCCCCCAGCAGCTCAGCTGTTGCTAATCGTGTGGACACATGAGTACAAAAGTTAAGGCCTTGGGTTTACCTCTTCTACACCGTGTTCAACACACCAGAGTGTGCGCTTTAAGTAAACCTTTATTTTACTTCTCAATAGTTTTGTTTTTAAAATAAACAACTGTTCTAAGCTACTACGCACCGGTACAGCCTCATCGCTCACTTGGGTTCACTGCTGCAGCCCATCAGCACCTGGGCTTCCAGCACTAAGCAAAGAATCACTTTCTGCCCTTTATTCTGCTTGGCAGATCTGTTATGCTATGCTGATCTAGAAGAGAAAAATGCCAAATATAAAAGGAGTTAAAGAGCTGGGCATTGGAACTCTGCCCCTGTGCTGCCAAAAATACTGGAAGCTTAATCAGAGCACAGCAACGCTAAGCTAAATCTAAGGGATTTTTAGGAGTCTAGGCTGAACAAGCGAGACAGAGCCCAGGCACATGGACCGGGATGAAAAGGATTCACTGCTTCAGACAGGGCACTGCTTAAGGAAGAGGAGGAGGAGGAGAAGTGCAACAGGACTGTGAGAGCATTCCGTTGATAAAAGCACTGGTGGGTCACATGTAACTAGGTTTCATTACATAATCTTCCGCAGCCTCCTTCTGTGGTCATACAACAGCACCGAGGGTCGCAATCTACCCTGGACCCTTTCTGACAACAAGGGGAACCTAACAATTGCTAGTGAATATCTATCTGTCTGTTGCTAAAATAAAATACAGTCAATAATTAGCAAAGAAAATTCATCACATGTCATCAGTAATCAGTCCCACATCACTGGGTGTCCCCAAGACAAGCAACCAACCTCCTTTTTGAAGTGCAAGGAGCCATGTGGTAGACAAACTGAAGTCTAATTCTTCAGAGTTATCCACCAAATACCAAAGACTTTCAATACCTCCCTTTGGAGGAAGAAATCTATGATGGTCTGAGTCTGGAACAAATATGCTTGATATGTAAGGAGACTTGTTAGAACAGAATAAAAGTGAATGCTATAGGCACACCATTTCACAGACTCAGTACAGGCATGGCTAGTTGTATTCTCTCTACGTTTAGGAAAGACTGCGGGGGTCTCACTGTCAACAGCGGAGATGTGAGTAGCACGTGTTGGGTATGACCACTTCCTTCCCTAAGCAGTGTGGGGTAAATGAAAGCACGAGAAAAAGTACAACAGCACACCCCAAGAGAACAGGGGTTTGCTTGTTCTCTTAGGGGACTGTTCTCCCTAAGGAAGAATGACCTCCGGACATTACAGTGAAACAAGTTGTTCAGAGAAGTAAGAATTCCTTCCAGCTGGTGCTGGTACTGATCTATTCCTCGACACTAAAGGAGAGAACACCCAGCAAACGGTGACAAGTCCCAGAGACAAGGTGGTTAAGAGAGAATTCAGGAAGTATCCAGAGACTGCTGACAGGTAGCTGAGCTTTACCCTCTCTAAACAAAGGACGCTCTTGCAGGGCTGCAACCAAGGACTTCCTCCTCCTCACCCAATAAAGCTGTCTTTGCTGACAGCTGTCAAACACTTCCAGTGCTGTTCCCAGCAGCGACAGCTTGCTTAGCAAGAGACTCCCTGAGCACTGTTAACCTGTACACTACTAGCTCTGAGGGACTCCAAGTGCTCAGGTATGCCTGCAGGCCCAGACTGACACCCCCATCTCTCAACCTCTGATGAGATGGCACCACACACAGCCAAACTAATGCTACTTAAGCCAGTCTGCTCAGACTCAAGCTCCCTCCCGTCACCAGGTAGAGAGTAATGCAGGACAGCTCCAGCAAGAGCAACAACATACAACAGGCACTATTAGGACTGAAGGAAAAATACAGGCAAAGATACCAATCAGCCCACTAGCACAGAAGTCCAGTGATGTCCCTTGTTGAATATTCAGGCAACAAGTCCTACAGAACACATTCCTGCTGCAAGCTGGGCAATTGCTGTTATTACACTGCTGCAAACCTAGGGTTTCAAAATGCTTAGAAGACATCTATTTAAAAAACAAATTCCAACAAGTATCATCATTCCTCCTTCATGCTCATGACTCTTTCCAAGGGGAGCAGTGATTCCAGGAAGATGTTGAAGGAGTAACAGCCTTATGTACTCAGTCCGCCCACATTTAATCTTGTGAAATGCATGCACCAAAAGACAGCACTGCATCTTACTACGATCCCAAGGGTCTTTTCCAACCTGAATGATTCTGTGCCTCTGTGATTTAGTAGAAAAAGAGGCAAGCAACAGCTTTGTTACAAGGCTCTTCCTTGGGTAGAAAGGACTGACATTTTGAGATGGCAAACAGGCCTGTTTTTCAAGAACCCCAAGAAATAACTCCAGGGGACCTGAAAGCATTTCTGACCACTGTGCTCGCAAGTCAAGCGCACCTCCAGTAAAAGACAGACAACATGTGGCTCTTCTCTGCCTGTCTCCCAGGGCTGCTGCTGGCTGTCTCCTGCCACGTGGTCTGTGTTCAGCAGTGACTCGTAGCTGCTGAAATACCCTGCCCTAGGGATGACAGCTCACCCTTCTTTCAAGCGGTTACATTCTGAGATTACTTGGGTTGTTTTGCTTCAAATATTCAGCAGAGAAGAAAGTACGTCTTTCATTTTGGCAGGAAAGAGGGAGGGCAGAGAGCACATGCCCAACAGCAGAAGGTGGAAGAGGTTTCCTTCCTTAGGCCCAGGGCCTCAGGGCATTTTGCTCTGCAAACCCAGGAAGGGAGCAATGGCCACCAGAAATGTTTGGAAAGGTGGGGGGCCTCCTGTGACACAAGCTGGAAATACAGAGCACTCAACCCAGCAAGACCACAGAAACTCTGTACAAAGTAGTTTCCATGGGGCTCATAGAGCTCTACCCAGCATCACAGAAAGCCAGGCTGGAAACAGTTACATACATCACCCAGCCGACATCCCAGCAACGCTGACAGCACACCCCGCTAAGGGTGCAGAACGATGGGGTCTCCACACAGCGGGCTGTGGGAGCTTCTGAAGGACTCCTCCGAGATGAAGAACAATTCCCAGCCGACACAGAATTCACACTGACCTTTCAAATGGACGAAGCCACAAAAGAGACTTGATAGAGGAGCTCTCACGGCAACCAGGCACTTTGCAGATGCTCCTGAATCCAAAGTGATCCTACTCTTACCGAGCACTGCAGCAATAGCCGTCCAGTAGGCAGAGACTCCAAATGTGGAAGGGCACAACTGCTGAATGTACACAGATTGCAGCAGCCTCCTGATTTATGCCTAAAATCCATCAGTGTTCCAGGTCTCAGTCAAGAAAGAAGCAGCAAAATTAAGGGAGAGGGCAGTCTGGACAGCACAACTTGTCCTGCTCCATAGTTGGGGGGGCACCTCTACACCAGAAGGTTTGAGAATGGCAAAGGAAGCACTAAACTCCAGGAATTCCATGTTCCCGGCCCACCTTGGGAAACAAGCTGCCCAGTTTGTGAAGTCCAGCAGCATCTCTGAAAGGGAAGGGGGTTGGACTTCTTACAGTTAAGCCCAGTGCAATACATTTATCTGTCATCTCTCTATTTGAGGTTGTAATGTTTCTCCCCCAAAACAGGCTTTCTGAGTGAGGCTTATATGACAACAAAATATCAGCATCGACTCTGCAGCCATGGCCAGTGGATCGCAGGACAGTCCATGAGATGTTCTGATGCTCAGTTTCACATTTCTTAACTGTTTCCTGAAAATCTGCTGGAGTCCTTATGGGTTCTGCTGGTGATAAACACAGAGGGCTGGAGCTGGTGAATGGCTGTGTAGCAGTGCCTGGAAAAAGAATCACCTTTCCCAGGATGTCTGCCGCACTGAAAGGAACCATGAGCAACTTCAACACTCTTCCAGTATGAGCCAAATCCACCTGATCCAACGAACCAGGAAAGGCTGGCATTTTCTGAGATATGTGCTGCATGCTCACCCCTGGGAAACACCTTTCCAAGCTGTGTCCCGAGCACAGACTACCTGAACAGCCTCCCCAGAAAAAGAACCGAAGTGCAGCTACTGCTTCCTTACAGCACAGCAGGGAGCAAAAGCATCTGGGACCCTCACTTGTTTCTGTGGATTCCACCCAGGGCAGCACAAAGACAGCTCTGGAGAGAGGCTTCTTCTCCCTTTCCGCAGTCAGAAGGGCACCTAGATGGAAAGGAACATATTTATGGCTTCCTAAGCTAGCAGGATATTCCCCGCGCAGGTTCACAGACAGTTCCTTTGGCCTAACCCTTTGGAATCTTTAGGGGCTTCTTCCTAGATGCTGGACTGGCAGAGGGGAAAGGCAGAATGCAAGTTTGCAGACACAGAGCTTACTGCCTGTAGACCTCCATCTACTCCTCATCCAAACTGTGTTCTTGCACAGAAGTTATGAGCTTTACAACTGTATTTTACAGCCAAGTAGAGAGTTGCCAGTAAAATCAGTTGCAATCTACATCAGAGCTCAACTTAAAGGTGTATAATGGCAAAATTCCTTGAAAAGGGAGCAGGACTGAGCCCAAAGTCAGCAGCAACCCCTTAAGAGGATTAAAGTATCCAGAGTTACATTAGGAAGGATTAAATAATAATAAAATCCAGAAATTTGGAAAGGACAGAAACCCTCACAAACAAAGGCACAAGCCAGCTCCTAAGTGGGGGTTAGGAAAAAAACTTTCCCTGGGGGCAAACTATTCCAAGATCACTCATTTCATGATCATTTATTTCCTTCCCACAAACATTTGGCCTTTGTCAGGAACACTGTAGACATCTAGGCACACACTGGTTTAACCTAGCACCATGCTTCACAAAGCTTGTGCTTTCAAGTAGGCAGCCAGTGAACGCCACGAATTCCGTGATACACTATCCAAACCACGTGTCAGCTGAACCTATCAGCAAGATGGAGACTGAAATGCAGCCCATCCAGGGCTGTGTGCAATCCTTCCAGGTTTGGAAACTTGATGGCAGACTAGCAGGAACTTCCATACAGAGGGGAATATCCTGAATTCATTTTTGAAAGATAGCCCCCTTGTTCTTAACAGTCTGATGGTCACATACTGTAATTTTTTTTTTTTTAAACATTTTAAGAAAAGGATGTTTTGGGTACTACTCACTGGACGTTGAGAGAGAAAAGACTTCCCAGACGTTCTCAGGATGTTACACATCCATGAACTTCCTTCTCCCACAGTTAGAAACGTGTCAAAGGTAAACCCAAACAGACAGCAAGTATCAGCAATTTAAAGCAAAAATATTACAGTGCTTCACAATTATACCCCAAAATCAATATTATGAACCAGGATATTCAGACTCCATGATGAAATTCAGACACTACAGACAATACAATTAATGCCAGAAGATCTAGTTTCATATGTCTTCATTATGGTGTCACTTCAGAGTAGTGTTGGATTCTTTTTTATTCAAGTTGTAACTACGTGTAAGATAAAGAATGCTGAAAAGTGTGTTAAGGTGCTACTACCAGCAATTTGCACTTAACAGCCTCAATCTTGCATAACTTTTTAAAAAAATAGGTGTACTTGTACATACCTAACTTGTTGATGCAGAATGATTTATCTTTTCTACCAATAAGGATGCTGAATCTTCATCTTAAGTGAAAAAATCAATTCAGTCCACATTGGGGAGTTATGCACAACACACAATAGAGGCCATTTGATTTTAACCTCTTTTGGAATCAAAATGTTTTGGCTGGCAACACACTACTTACCTACTTCAGAACTGTTTAGATCAAATGACGTAGCACTGAAAGTTTCATAAAGGAAAAGCAAACCTCATCTTGACTTTTTCCTATTTATTTGTTCATGACTAGAAATTTTGTTCTTACTGTGATTTTCAGATGGGAATTCACATGTAGTTTCAGTGTCTAAGTTTCCAAAGTGAAAAGGAAAAGTGATAGTTAAGTGACTGAGCAGCACTGAAGAAGAGATCTGGGCTCCATAAAACCTCATAAAGAACAAATTAAAATTAAATTTTCAAATTAAATTTCAAATTTCAATAAAATTTCAAATTAAAAAGCTAGGAAGGATGCAGAACTCTCCTCTTCACAATCACCCAAGATAATCAAAACTGTTACCTTTTCACTTAGGTTGAAAGGAAGAGGACTTAAGAAGGTAGCTCTTGTATTGCTCTGCCTTTCCTGGTTATGCACATCCTTAGAAGTGAAAATACTGAGAACTTAAATACTTAAAGTGTTTTGGGTTTTTGTGTGCTATTCAGGTTCAGCATTGCTGAAATACCAATAAGCAGCTCAATGAACAAAGGTTCAGGGTGAAAGAACATGAACTAACTGAATGGCATTGCTGTTTGTACACCTTTGCTGCTGCTGAATTTCAACCCATGTTGGAAGATGGAGTGTATTCCTTCTTAATGAACAGTGGAGGCATGTATTTCTATCTTCAGTAAAGTTCTCCTCGCATCTTCAGGACAAACTGATGGATTATCAAACCAGTCAGGAATTACTAAAATTCTTATCCTTTGTTAATAGAATAAATATATTTCTCCATCAATTTTTCTGCCTAGGAACCCTCTAAGAGATTTGTTGCAAAGTATTAACATCCAGATTTCTGTAAATGTGGTCTATGTAGTATCTGGGAAAGGGGGAAATATTTAATTTGTATGAGTATATTAGCAATTTTCTGTATAAGATCATGTGAAGATCACAGATTTATGGACAACCTAAAAGTCTTCTTTTCTAAAACCTTAGATTAAAACTACACACAGAGAAACTGATCCTCTCCAGAGCTATGGAGCTGCAGGACAAACATCAAGACCTCCCACATGACTGCAGTGTCATGCTCCTGAGCACACCTTATCTGGTTATAAGCCAAGACCCAGTAGGATACCTAAAGTGAGAACATCCAAAAAGAACCCTTAGTATAGAAGTTATGTCGGAAGAGCAACTTCAAATTTACCCTATTAAAAACCAGGTCCAGGACCTGTTTCACTCAGTCTCAAAAAAGACATTGGTGCTGTAATGTGAAGGCACTGGGTCAGACCTATCAAATAGCAGCAGAAAAAGGCAAATGGAAATGGGTCTCATGCTACAGAAAACCCGAGAAATTGCAGTGATAAAATTCTCTCCCATTTCAGTCCCGCAAGGTGCTCAAAGAAGAAGAATGTAAGAGCAAGACAGCAGTAACCGCTGTTAAGGTGTAATGGAAAGTGTTGCGTCTTGCCAAAACAGTCTTGTTCCAGGGTAGAATGAATGGCCCCAGCCCAAGAGCTGCTAAGAAACATGCTTTTGTGAAAGGCAACAACTACAGCACTGAAGGAAAGTATGTCACGCCTTAAGATCAAAATTTCTTCACACTGTATATCCCAGATCTAAGTTCCTTGTTACTTTCCTAATGTCCTCCTCCTGCACCAAAATTTATCATTCTTGGTTTCAGCCCATTGGTCATTTAAATTTGAAGATGAACATATTCATCTACCTGTTAGGCAAATGGGAATCTAAAGAGACTTTACCTACTTAAAATGCAAACACATTAGAAAAATCAAATCCATTTTCATAGCTCTCCCCAAGGAGCAGGAGAATTAGTAAATAAGAACACTGGCAAAATTAATCACAAAGCTGTAAATGACTAACCATTCACTCTGCATGTGTACGTGGGTGTGCACGCACACACACATCATTTACAGCAGGCTTTTAATTGTGTAAGGCATTAGTAAGTTTTACCAAGCACAACAGTGGAACTTTCCATTTCTTGCTTTGGTACCCCCCCAAAGAGTAAAACAAAATCAAAAGCTAAATTTGTTTTTAAGGAAACATTAGGGTTGCAAATTTGAATATTTAAAATTAATCAAGAAACGGAGATGCTAAAGGTTCCTCCTTAACCTTATATTAACACCAGCAAACCACTTACGCATCCTTCCATCACAAGTCAGAACATTAAAGTCACCATGTCCTGTATGCGTAAGGTCTGGGCAAGAAAACCTTAATTTTGAATATATTAATTTCATGGTTTAAATTCACAACCCTCAAAATGTTTTTGCACATGTAAGGCATTAGCACCACGCCTCCACAGTTAACGTTTGCAAGGCATATTCCAGCCCACATCCTTGCTTCTAACCTTTCACTGCTTTTTCAAATAAATTCCTTCTTAGGCTGAACTTTCTCATGCTTAGTCAGAGCCCAAAGGGAAATATGCTCTTAAAAGATCAGGCCAATCATTTTTTATTTATGGGGTTGTGAAATATTTACTATGTATTCCATTTTGAAAAAAAAAAAAAATTGCAATTTTCCTTTTCTCTCCTTGTAACTAAATAATGTCACACAGTGGAGACACACACTCGTCATGGGTGCTGTCCAGTACACAGGTGATGAGTTAAGAAACTGGAAAGAAAAGCCTTCTGTTTGCTGCCTACAGCACCCACAGATCCAGATGAAAGTCAGTGTCCTCTCCTATCAGTGAACATCCTATCTTAGCCCAGCATCCAAGTACAATCCAGCACACAATAAGCAAGTCTGACACTACTGTGAATGAAGGAGAAAATAAAGCTCCCAGACGACAGCAGTTTTATCTAGTTTTCAAAAGACACACCTCCTGACCCATCACCAATCTGATGAAAATTAGAGAGAGCTACCAGGAGTTGGGATATGAACACAAGCTAAAACAGATCTTGCACTGAGGCATAATCCTTCACTATATCTAGATACTTGATAAAAGGGACTGAAGATCTGGCAAAGAGAAATGACTCAGACATCGTAAGTCACCCACTAAAAAATTGTGCCACAATGTGGGAGCTTCAGCATGAGAGAGCTGAACAGGGTGACTAGTCCCCGGCAGCCAGCTCTGCTGTACCAGAGCCACGAGCTTCCCTCTAGACTATGGCAAAGCCCAAGCTTGGAGTCAAGCTTTGAACAAGGGATGGTGATGCTCAGCTAGTAACCCAAAAACCAAGAGATACTGGGCTGTGCTGCATGCTGCATCACGTACACAACGGACTGGAGTACCTCTTCTGAAGATCATTTTGGTATGGCCAGCATTACAAGGTTCTCTATCCTTAAAAGCAGTTATTTTTAATTCTGTGACACTGCAGCAGACACTGCGCATCCCCACCTTCCCTGGTATTTGCTCTTATGTTACACAGCACAAGGAAAATGTGCCGACTGGCTTTTCTTTCCCCTGATTGCCCTGGTAGAACTGGCAGCCTTG